AAAAAATAAAATTCGACATGTTTTCATATTGCAAGATTGCTAAGATTTCAAAATAAATGAGATGAGTACAAGTTCTTCACTAATATATTTTATTCACAAATTTCTTGAATCGAAACTTCTCAATAAACGATGACTAAAAAGTAATTGTAGAAGACTTAGGATGACTACTTGGGTTAGGGTGGATTGTGCAAGTTGTTGGATTTACAGTCATAAATTATTCGCTGACATCATGCCATTCATACGCTTAACCGGAGCTTGAAACTGACAGAAATTTTGACGCCCCTGGAAAGCATCATCGATAAACAGGGAGGACCTGATGCAGACGTAAAGGTCAGGATTGAAAAGGCAAGAACAGGATTCCTACGATTGAAGAACATATGGGACCTAAAACAACTGTCAACCAACATCAAAGTCACAATCTTCAGTGTGAACGTCAATACGTAGGTGAAAATTGGAGAATTACCACAACCATCATTAAAGATGTACACGTATTTTTGGACGATTGTCTATGTAAGACACTAAATAATCGCTGACTGTGTACCATCATCAACAACCTAATGTGGGAGAGGACAAACCAGCTTCTAGTTGAAGAGGAAATTAGGAAAAGGCGTTGACGGTGGTTAGAACACATATTGAAGAAATCATTAAATTGAGTCATGTGGCAAGTATTAACTTGAAATCCCGAAAGGAAACGAAAAAGGAAGAAGACCGAAGAACACACTACGTCTGGAACTGGAAGTAGACATGAAAAAAATGAATAGGAACTGAAAAGAACCGGGAAGGATTGTCTATAACAGAGTTGGATGGAGAGTGCTGATGAGCGATCTGTGCTCCACGACGATGGGTGACAGGAGTAAGTAGGTATACTCCACTCAAGCATCTCTGGAAGCCAACAACTTAAAACATCATCTACCGTTATTCGCAATAATTATGATTAAATACTAAGTCCTTGATGTTGAACTCCAAATACCTCGCTTCCTAATACGACACATTTTTATTGTGTGTGATTTTATGCATTATTGTGTACGCAGAAGTCCGTTTATTTGAGGAGGGTATTTGACTGGAAAACAATGTGTATTAAATCTTTGTTAATGAATATGCGACAAACTTCCATTACGTTCTATTACCTTTTCAATAAATGTGCTCTATACGGTTCTAACGTTTCTTAAAATCGTACTACATCAAAAGACGTTTCATACAACTCTTCCAACCTGTAAACTTAAGTAAACAAACCACAAACATCGTAGCATTATAATATGAGCTCATATACCTAGTGGATTCTCCTTGATCGTTTACAACAATAAACTGTAGTATTATTCATTAAAACGAATATCTTAAATAAGCTGAATCAAGATCCAGAGATAAAACAATAACAACAAAAGCAATAATACATTGCAATTAACGGTGTTCAAGCGTTCACTCATTTATACGTCATATGCACAAATATTTTCGAAGAGAATCAAAGCAATGTTCCGCGGAATCTAAGATCGATTGGGCGATGTTCATCTAATAATATTGATTGGGCGAGCAAATCCCAAAACTGAGAACTAAAAATGTTTAGATTTGTAATTAAAGCTATGGAAAAGTCTTACATCATAGAAGCAAGGTCATCAGAGCAAAACAACCTTGATAACTGTATTTTATTGTTCACGCAAATTCGATTCGAGTCTTTGTGTCGAAATAGCTTTGTTGAAGTGTAATGAACTTATATTCCCTGTTTAATAATTATAACGAAAGATTTCGAAGCATCAAAGTTATTTCCACTGTCGAGCAAGTGATGAGCATTTGCACTGTGACCCATTCACTCTCAACGTCTTTGGTATATGTTGACAAACGCGGACACCGTCCTTTTCCGTTCTTTCGATACTTGTCGTTTAACATATGCATCTTAACTGGTAAACAATTGAAGACAACTCAAGACGGGGATTTGTCTGCATTTGGTTATCGCAGTAGACATAAGGCTTGGTACAGAGACCCCAGGTTGGGTACTGGTAACATCTTTTTGGTGCATCCGTCAAGATAAAAAATATAGTAGGGCTACGACTAATAGTTGAAGTACATTGCTAAACTTGTCATATTTATCTTGATCTGATCCACAACCTGGCCCTTTTCGGTCAAAAGGCGTGTAAGAACACAAAAATAACACGGGGACCAAGCCAAACCATCCTTCAAGGTGCACCAGTTCTGCGTTGCAGTTGAAAGTCAAACATTTTGCGCAACACCTTCCAAACCAAGGGTGACTTACGGAAGTGGGTCAGTCAACGCTGTAGAACTAGAACCTGTGATAATCAGTCGCTTTGTATATTTCATCCACCAACTACAGTTATCTACTCGTTCACAATCTAACCCAACAAACATGATTATCTTTACGAACTATTTGAGCCGAAATTTGCCAGTGGCTCTAAAGCACAATCAAGGCACCATAACGTGAGGAAATAAGTCTTACAGGGTTAAGCATCAAAAAGTTAAATTAAAAATCGAGTACGTATGTAACTTCTTAGCTTGCAGTGTCGGTTATTATGTTAAGCCCATATACCTTATCCTAGCTTCCGGACAGCCCATTCTATTCATTCTACTTGAGTCACATTCTGACCTTGTTATTTATTCGCTTGCCAATCTTGACTGTTTTTATAGGTGTGGATACATTTCTTATCCCATTGCTCATCACATGTCTGTAACTTACTTTTGTGTAACTATAAATATTGATTAACGCTTGATCAAATGGGAGTTGGCCTACCAGTCATCTCCACTCTGCGTCGTTTCTCTTCTCCCTACTCCATTCGCTCTATAATACAAAATATATGTATTCACAAGTCCATTTTCGTTATTCGACTTATTTAATTCCGTTATTGACTAACGCGATTTAAGTCGATGATTATATACGAGGATAGGCGATATATGTATTTCAACAAAAAACATTCGTTATGATCTTCTTGGAGTCAGATCCACGGGCCACTAATGTGGAGAGTCCTTTGGACAACATCGTTCGATCTAAATGACGATTAAATAACGGACCCCACAAAAAGCTCAAGAAAAACTCACTGAGTAGCTAACATAATTTGTCACATTGTCTGAAGGACAAAAGTTTCACAAACTTCAAAACGAAACTTCTACCGTTCGTCCGGTGGCCAATCATAATTCATTGGCAACTCGAACTCTTCCGTGTAGTAGCCGAAAACCTTTGGATAAATAAATTATTGTAACACGTGGACTAGAAATAGAAACACATATGTAAATGCAACCTCGTATGAAAACTCAAGATATCTGACAAGGGCTTTGAAAGAAGGTTCATCACCCATTAGAGTCACATTTGATCCTTTATGAGTGACCTGTAGAAGTCCTAAGTTAAAGAAAACAAGAAATATTATCTACATTGTCTGATTCTCTCTTAATATCACCATCATTTGCAAAAAAGCTAGTAGGTAGCCAAATAAATATACTCATGAACAATAATGTCATACCACTCGAAGCCCGACGAGACTCTATTAAAGTGCAATTCATTTGCTCTGAAAATCTTATGGGCACGAAATCACTAATCAGGCTGTGGAAAATTGAAACCTGCAAGCCCTAGGATTCCATTTAGGAAAGACAACTAGCGTTTCTCATAGGGTAGCATTAAGGTTCTTCTATGAGGCGAAATTCGGGATGGTAGAAGTACTCGGAAAGTACAAAGCGGATTAGCTAATTCTATTTAGAGATGGGATTCTTTATGGATTGGTTTAAAATGAAGAGAGAATTTCAGGTAGTCTAATCTCCCCCTTAATATAAAAACTGACTGGAGATGGCTGAGTTTGAGAAAGGTTCTTCCATTCCATGAAGTTCTGCATTTTCGCTGTTACAAATATATACAGCAACTCACCTGTAAAACATGTAATTTTTCAAAACCTTTACATGATCTGCTTTCATTTTTGCATCAAAAGACAACTAAAAATAATTGGCCACGTAAGCAAGGTTTACCAGCAATCCTAAACAGTAATGGCACTGGACATGCATATCTATTAGTAACTGTGAAACTTTACAGCTTAAGTTTAATTTCACTGAACTCTAGCTAAACTATCTGTCAAGTTGATTCCATCCATACAAAAAAAGATTGGTGACTGAACGCTGATGACTAAAGAGGGTTGATCAATCAGTGACACGGTTTCTGCATACGATGGAGCATAGTCTCAATCTATGTTCATGAACTCTCGATAGTCTGTTCTGCTTATTGAGTAATTTCACTGGTAGTATTCTACCTATCTGCCATAGACATTAAGGAAGAGTAATATGCTGTTTGATATGCTGAGGTACATGAGGTTAAATGGTCGCAATATAGTATGACTTAGATTTGAAAATACCAAAGTTAAGCAGTCACCTCACTCCTGTTAAACTTGAATGGATAGAAGATATGAATTGAACGATAAGTGTAAACGGTTCATAATAATCATTTTCCGGACATACACAATCGACCAGATCGTAATCCATCTATTTTAAACGTCATTTTGTTATCTATTACCGTTCTTTAATAAAAATATCAACAATATAATAATTGAGGTATTATTGAAAACACTTCTTTTTTCTGCTCGCAAATCCCCCCCTCCGCAAAAAAAGAAATGAGACAAAAAGAAGAAATGCATTCCTGATTTATAAATAATATTAAACAAAAGAAACTCTTTGGATGAAAAAAAAAGAAGTAGGCAGTTATCCTTTACTCATATTTATTCATTTATCTAGATTGGATACATATATTGATTGTTTGTATATTCATGCTCAGGTTTTCAATAAGCAATGGCAATCAATGTAATTGTTTATCTTCTAAATTTATAAATATATTTGTGTGTGTGTATGTGTGTGTGTGTGTAAATTTGTGTACATATGTGGTCACTTTTTCAACTCCATATATGAGCTATTCAGTACAAACTATTGATTTTGTCAAATCTCTCTCTCTCTCTCTCGATATATATATATATGTATAAAACTTTTATACACTCGGCGAATATTATTACAGAGAATATAACTCAGGTTATTAGTACATAAATAATAGTGAAATTATAGAAAATAGGCGCTGAGATATTACAATCTGTTTATCCGTACTTTATCTATGTATGTATGTAAGTAGGTATGTAAGTAGGTATGCAGGTATACGTATGTAAATGCAAATCTCTTGAAAATTGTTTGAATGCACTTAAAGAGAAAGAATTAAGCAAATCATCAAAAATACTGTATTGGTAACTTCGTACTATTTATGATTTCTGTCTCTCTCCCCCTCTCTCTCTATCTATCTCTTTCCCTGCGGATTATTGTTAATAGTAAATAAATAGTTTTGTTCCTGATTTATGTCCTTTTAATCTATCATTATTGCTCATAAAAGAAAAAAAAAATATGTATCACTATATTAATGATATCTTGGAATATGTATAAATATGTTATTCTCCATTCTATTGTGCTAACGATACAGTATTATCATTCTCTGTAGTAGCACGATATTCAGATTTAGCACGAACAAATTCTCTGGCTACATCATCTGTATTAACACGTTGTGAAAGTACACGTAATACAGTCCATCCAGTTTCTGTAAAATGTAAACGTCGTCCTAATGGAAGTCGAATTGGAGTTGCACCAAGATTTAATGCTCTAGATAAAGATAATACTGTGACACCAACAAGACGATCAGTTCGTCCAAAACAATAATCTTTTACAGATAAATGTAATTCATACCATTCAGGATCACTTTGATTGGATAAGAAACTGTTAGCAATGCAAAAATGTCAAATACAAAATATATTTAGTGTAAGATTTTTACCTTATGTGAATGCATTTAGTGGTGTTATATTCTCCAAGGTGGAAAATTTAATCGTGAAGCTTTCATTGGTATTCTGGACAATATTTTTAACGCCCACTTCAAAGTCATCAAAACAAGCTGGCACAACGCTTTCAGATAAACTGAAAAGCCCACTTCTTCATAAAGTAGGCACAGATGATGTTGTCCAGAATGACATTGATAGCTCTACAATTAAATTATCTAGTTCAAAGAGCACAACACCACCAAAATGGAAACATATATTAAGATATAAGAATATATACAGGAAAAATGAAATCAACTGGTATTACAAACATTCTATCAGTTAAGTCATAAATGGACGTAAATACTTGGACAATATAAATCGACTCACATCAAGAGATGCAAACTTCATGAATGTAGTGGGATAACTGGTTGTAATCTATGCTCAAAAACATTAAATAACATAAGTTGAATTTAGATGACAGTAACTCTTATAATAACTCCGCCTGTAGCTCTTCTAGAGTTACTGCCAGTCCCAAGCCCGGGTAAAGAAGGAGAGTTAGGCATGGGGTTATCGACTCCATCCCGTAGAAAACTAACTCGCTAAAAAAACGCTAACCAGAAAAATAAACTCTTATAATATTAACTACTCAATTTTATGTTCTTATATTGTTCTTCTATTTTATATCTGGAATACCTTGAATCATCTCAAGAATGATTATTATAGTGTTTTAAGTTCTACTTTCTATGTAAATAACACATTGAAGAAACTTGTTTTCTTGATGTGGGCTATGTGTTTCAGAGAGAACTGTGAAAACTACCAAAGTAAATGACTTCATTCTCAATAATTATCCGATATACTATGTGTCTTTGCTCCATCTTATTAACAGGTTTATCTTCACTGACTTCGTTAAATTATCTCAAATCTTTCAGTAGTCAAGCGTCAATATACACACACAAGAAATCATGTATATATCATTTATGTGTAATCATTTTAGGATGAAATATCGAATTTATATTAAGTATATAAAAACAGTCGATACTTACAATACAAATGTTTCGTGATAAATGGGCATTGTAGTAACTGATTTCGATTTTGTAGCAGCTTTACGTTTACGATCAGACAATAATGGTCCAAAAATATAAACTTCTACAAATGGTCTAAACATTCCAGTGGCAAGAGACCAATTCAAATCTGAAGCTGTATGAACTAAACAAAATATATATTGTATGTATACAGGTATTGATAGTCACTGAATGATAACTGGATGCACAAATTACTTTAATTATATAACTGTGTATTTAAGCGTATAACTGTTGAACGTCAAATACTAGTGCATGTATTTAATCTAGTCATTCACAGATTTTCATCCCATTCACATTCAAGTTTTTTTAGATGGTTGCATGTGATACTGTGTGACTTTGATGGCGTTCTGTTCTCTGAGATGAATGGTTTAGTCGTGGAGCTTTCATCGTTCTTCTGATGTCTTCTATCTGAAGTTTGTACTGATAATGTCGTTCAGAGAACAAAACGCCGTCGAAATCATCCACGTGAGCTATAAATCTTCTTCACTTTCTCAATACTGTGTGACTCAACGATTAACAAAACATTCTGTTAATTGTCTCTTTATTATTTGAAGAACCAACACTTTGCCGCATGCCAACCTATTTTAAGATCTTAATTACGCCTTCTTGACAAGTGTTAAATAGATTATACAAAATAACCATTCCAATATTTTATATTTTCCAATTGTTATCCGGTTTATTCCTTCCAAAAGATCAACAGTTTTTGAGAAGACCTTATAAGGACAGACATTCAATGAAACAATTACGAATTTTTCAATTAAGGCTAATTAATTTCACGTTAATAATATATAATTAAATACACTGACTGATCACTGACTAATGATCATGCTTTTTTGGTTTAGTCTTTAGTTATGACAATTCTGTCTATCAGTTTATAGTGTGTCGATTAATCTAAGTGACTTGGCATTACTGTCGAAAAACAGTATTCGTAGCATCTCAGACAGTGCAACTGACTAAGGTTTCAATTCAGCAGGAAGCATTAGTTCCCTTAAGATTACAAGCATGCCTTGTTGATGAGTGCCAGATTGCACGAAACCTCGATCCTGGGTCGTCTATCAACTACCTTCAAACTCCTAACTTGTCTGTATAAAAATTAAGATTGTTTAAATATTGTTCTCAATCTACAGTGAATAATACTAAGTCATTCTCAAAACGAAACTTAATTTCTCATAATTAAAACTAATTCATTCTATCACTCTTATGAAAGAATAGTGATTACATTGAATCTATGCTTAAATGTGTTTAGTGTTAACTCGTATGGTTGAACCGCTTATTAAATTATGAACAATTTTAGCTCTTTTGTCCATCGGTTGTATAGGAGATTAAGTTGACAAATGTTGTAATTTAGTTATAGAAGTCTTGTAGAGGTTGGTTTAGTTTGTAAGTTGTACTCATCACAGATATCATTTGAGGTGCAATTAACAACCAGGAAGTACTCCATAGCTATTTCGTCCTATTTTAGGACTTCTAAACAGGGTAAACTCTAAACTTTATCAGATATTAAACTCAAGACATTTAGGTTTTGTGACGAACAATTAATCTTCAGATTGTCTCAACATATCACAAACTGAATGACGTTGTATTTGTACAATCCCGTTCCAATCGATTAGTTCTTACGGTTAAGTGTTTGCCTTGAGACCCAAAAGGTTGTTACTTATAACCGAGGTGAATTTATGAGCACCTCATAGTTGAAAAAGCACATACTAATAGGAAATGACAGTCAGGTTTTCTCTGGTTTTCAACAAAACCTTAATTGCGGTCAAATTTTGTTGAGTATAACTTTGAAAGTTATAATTGTATTGTTCATAATCATCGAATACTATTGATGATCCAAAAGTGTAAGTAAACAGTCAATAATAATAAATCTAATCAAATCATAAAATTCACACTATTGCTCATTTAACGAGGATATCATCAAGGAAAGTCCATAAATGCATACATCATGTGATATGCATTGAGCATTTCAAAGAACTCCAAATTATAAATACAAGTAGATCACAAGTATAAGAACCTTTCACTTTTGTGATGATCAATACCTTGAGTCTTATTTTATTTTTATACTGATACTCAGTTAATTTCAAACATTTTTTTATATAGCAGATTAACACCTAACTCTCCAACTTTCTAGCACATGGATAAGGCTCAAAATACAGTCTTTTTGTTGAATTGTTCCATCGGAACCTATTGCACAGTCATAAAAACACACAGCCTACTGAATATTCACAATAATAAGACGAGACAGTATTTTTAGGTCCTCAATGGTTATCAAACTTAAATCGGTTCATGATCTCAATAAATTTCGAAAATCTTCACAACCTTCATACACATGTATCTATGTTAATAAATGTTTGAAGAAAACTGCTCGTGGTGATACATTTTCCACCGTCATCTGTGTGCATTTCGTTTGTCAATGTGATATATGCTAGTGAGGTATGATCATCTAGTTATTAAAGACAGATGTATCTAATCATCTTGACAAAATGGAAATATTTTATATCTAACTCTCATTCAAGACCACTACTGAGTGACTACTTATACTTTGTGTTAACAAACTATTATCTAGTCTAATCACTTGTTGACCAGATACTGTGTATACTGATATCATGTGACATACTTTAGTGATCTGTCTAATCTATCAAACCTATTATCTACATATAATGTCAGTAGTGTATTTATACTAAACCCATACTGAAACCGGTCGTACTATCCTGTGGCAAATAGCTGATCTTTCAATGTGTCATTGCATTACCGACATCTTATAAAAAAAGTATTTAAATTAAAAACCTTAAGAAGAATAAACTTTCTTAGAACTATTTGAAAGAAATCATCACTTTTGCATGTCTATCTCCAATCAATAAAATATATATGTATATATTATGTATGAAAATTTCGTAAGAGTATCAGAGAGCTTCAATCTTCCTGTCAGTATTTTGAAGAATATAATAAATCAACTATATGAATTTATAGTTGGCTATGATATTATGTTTTTCATTTTTCTAGTATCAGACTACTACTAGTCAGTGTGTATACTCAGTTTTATGTTGATCCATTTCTGTATTTGGACACACAGTATACAATTAACTACTTGGAATATGATAAATTAAAACCATTTGTATCTTCTAGCAATGATACGTTCAGATTTTCTGCAGTGAACTCTAACAACATCTGGATACCGTTTGAGATCTACTGGAAGTTTAAAAATGAGATAAGTCAAGAGATCGGGTTATATGCTTAATAATACCTCGTAACGAAAGAGTTTCACTACAGATTTGCTAACAACAAACTTTGTGATTGATGATATTTTGTGATGGAATTTCTTTGAAATTATCTCCCGTCATATATCCTTATTAAATTTTTGGGGAAATTTAAATCGTATAGTCTACCTAACACTATCCGAACAACGAATATATTTACAGTTACTGACCAGGGTTAGAATAGTAAATGTTAGTAGAAACCATATATATCTGAAAAACTTGAAAAATGATTTAAAAGCTAGTAATATTTGTCAAGACAAGTATAAGTATGATTAAATGCGTTTTCCAACTTTTCCTTATTGATCTTTTGAGCTTCATGTTATACAATCATAAGTTAATCATATTTGATTAAGTGTGATGTTTGAATGAACTAATGATTCCTTTGTACTTGTTGAATGTTTGATTTCGAATTCTAAATACAGTACATTCATTTGTGCTTATCTAGTACTTCTTGATTCAATTACGTTATTTCCGAGACTCTTAGTTCGCACTATAATACAAATACTTAGAAACACTATAGTAAGTTCAATCCAAATGAGTCTTTAATTATATTTCTATGCACCTCAAACTATGAAAAAAGAATAGTTTAATCATTTTCTAATTCTGATTACATTTCACTCAGTTACTTGTTTTGATCAATAATGATTGTTTCCTTCACATAATTAGTTCCCTTTCCGGATATTTTTGTAAAGGATTTTAGTTTTTCGTTAACAAAAACAATACAAATAACCAACTGTTATGCATATTACAATGTATTATTTTAGGATGAAGTTTGCTTATAGGATTAGGAATGGAGTTGTGAAGAAACTTGTGTCATCATTATATCCAAAACAACTGTTCACAGTCAAATGAATCTCGTATTATCCAAACTGATATACTAATAAATTTTTCTGCTTCATTTTAATTGGCACAGAACAATAATGACTGATACCACGTTCAATTCACCAGCCACTATATGCTACTTATGTTGACATAAGTAGTATGTAGCAACAATCAGAAGTGGAATGCATGCCAGTAGAAGATTGATTAGATCGAATTGAAAAGAACAGAAATATATACTGTGAGTAATTGTAATAGAAACAAGAACAAATGGAGGATGAAATTTTCAAGAGACAACTGATGAAAGATGTGCAAATGAAGTATTTAATGTCTAGTTTTCATATTTTATTAAGACACTTTATAATTTCACATTAATTTATAAGTTGGTTTTCCCCACCTTATCCTTCGTTCACTATGTTACCACTCATCGACAGAATGAGAAATACAGTGATAATGAGACTTACTTTTCACATTTACTTTATATTCACCGGTACCAGGGTGCTTGAAAATTTCTACTTGAAGTGTTAAGTAGCCAACTGGTTCCTCATTGGCCAGATAATCTTTAGTGAATAATAATAATTTAGAAAATACAACAAAAAAAGGGGATCAAAATCGTTTCTGTTTCTTATATATATATATATATATATATATATATATATATATATATATATATATATATATATATATATATATATATATATATATCTTTCAAAATGTAGTAATAAATTTAACTCATTAGGATGTGTGATTTATGGAGCTTGTTCAACTTGAGAATAGTTTATACAAAAGGTTGATAAATCGAAAGTATCTAATATACCCTCAGGTTGAGACTCTTCCACGACCTGTCAGTAATGAAACGTACTTGTTGCCTATAAACTACTAAGTTGCAACTTAAGTAATTTACAGTTTACAACCTAAGTTAATCTATGGAGATGAGCAATCATTATTCAATGCTATCTATGGGTGTTCTCCTCACCCTCAATATGGCTTAATTGCATTTGTCATCGATTCTCATTGAAAACTTCAAGAAGCTCTTACAAGTACAATTCAGAAAAAAATGAGTGCTTTTCCAGTTTAACAGATATTTTAGTCACTGGTTTGAAATCTAAAGAAATGTCCGAACCAGAAAATTCAATGCTTTTAAGAGTAGACTTCTTTCTGTCGTTCAGCTGACAACATGACTAAGTGATTAAAAGTTGATCAAGAAACATTTCAGATGGGTTAACAGCTGAATCCACTTTTTAATTACTGAAATTTTTAATCCCAAAAATAATTGTACATAATAATTATTTTGATGTTAGGAACTTGGAGTTCGTAAGCAACAAATCTTGGAAGTGGTTGTCATATTAATTGGTATTCATCAGCTAAATGTATATGAGATCTCCAACAAATGTGAAGACTTGGTGAGTCTTACCAGTCACCTTAGTATGAATTAGATAGTTGGTCATTCAAGTTGATTTGGTAGATATTCATTGAAATTATATAATTTCAAACTCTGAACTAAAGTAAACAATTAATGTAGTCATAGTTCAATGAAAAATTCAGTTTAAAATAATTATTCATCATCATAAGTAAAAAAATATTCTGTCTGTATGAAACAAGTCATTACCTTGTGAAGTTTGTGTAGCTATAAAATCTCGAAGTAATTCATCTGTAGCCTGAGAATATAGAGCTAATACTTGTCGTAAACTATGTAGTTCTGGACTTCTATCAAGAAACGAACGTTTCACACCACGTCCACCAGCATGAAAATATACACGAATTGTATTCAAGCAAATACCAAGTAATTCACATTGATATGGTGTAAGGCCTTTTTCTGGTTCACGTGTTGTTTCCTACAATACAATATAAATGTAAGTTACATATCAACTGCTTTCACCTATTCAAAATTGATGAGAGCTGAACTATCTAAAATCTATAAGTCTGTAGCATGTCTCGAGGCTAAGCCACCACGCACGAGACCGAAAAACCTGGATTCGATTGCTACTTGAGGGATCATGGATGCTCAGTGTTGAAAGTCTAATACTAGGATGAAGCGGGAGTTCAATGATTCCAGATTGTCAAAGGTCCTCTTACATTGATTGGTTCATAATTTCAATAGATCATATGGTTGAATTATAACAAACAAAATCCTCCAATATCACCACCCCAAATACACTTTTGTTCATGTGAATTTTGTAGTCAAGGTAAACATGAAAATAGAAGAAATCGATAAGTCCCAAATAAGATGACACAAGAGTCCTGAATCCCACTACTAGTTACCATCCAAATTTAAAATTAAATTTGGTTATCTTACAAAAGTGAAGTGTTATCATCTTGTTAGTCAGCATATAGTATTGTTCAATATTCACAGTTGAATTCCAACTGATAGTAGCTTTTGTACTGAATTAGCGAGAACGATAAATCAGGTCATGCCATTCAGTTATTCATAAACAGTACCGGACCTAGTACAGATGAGACTCAGATTAACTTTATATGCTCCACAACATACCAGTGTGTAAGAGAGGGAGAGAGAAAGAGGTACAGAAAAAAATCCATCAAATGAGAATCGCTTAGGTCGCAAAACCACTTGCATCGATGGCAGAGGAAAGATCTATCACTACTGAGACGCCAGATATGGAGAGAGATTAAGAGTGAATACATTTGGTTGTATTTGATTCATATGTGAATGAAGTTGCGAAACAATTGATGACTTAATCTATGAAGTAACTAAGGTCAACACCAACTGGAAAAAACAAATTCCACTTCAGATCCACACGACATAACAACAAAATGTTAAATAATTGTTCTCATAATCTTCAATTGTTTCATTCAGCTAGTGATTTGAATATTGAAAAATAAACCAATGAATTTAGACTTGACTTATTAATGAATAATGATTCTTCAAATACTTGTTTGTATTATTTTCCCTGTCTTACTATTTAATCGTACCCTTTTATAGGCAAACTTATCAGACTTCATTCACATTTGATCACTGATTAACTTTATATATTTCCTTATATTTATCCCACAGTGTAACAAGTTCATTTGACAACACGATATTAAAATTCCATTGTAATATATTGGGAACGCTATTATAAAGTCTTTCAATCAAAATCTCGATATGATTTCCTATCCACTTCTAGTAACTCTGGACTAAATATAAACAACCTGAACACAAGAGAAAAGGTCGAAAGTCCCGAAAGAAGTTTTACTCCAGTGTTAAGGTACACATAGAAGATCGTGTGTATTTATACCTTTTAAGGTGAACTTAGTCGTCTAGAAAGTTCTAGGAGTATACTAAATCTAACAGAGGAAGATAATTATTCAATTAAAAACATGACATGTGATCTGTCACCCTTCTAGAAGTTTCAAAAACACTTTTATTCAATACAGATTAAATAAAATATTTCACTTAACAATGATATTTTATACAAGAAAATGAATAGGTGAATTATGAGAGTGAAAGTATGGATGAAGTTCGAATTGACTTCATCATTAAATTTAACAGTATTTGGATTAATAGGGATATCAAACAATGTGTGAATTATTGAATAAATTTACATAGAGTTCATTTATGTGCAAAGAGATAAATAATCATGCATCTATACAAAAAGCGCATACTGATAATTAATCATCTCTGTCACTACCTGTTATGCCCCGATATGCATTATGAATGGTAACTTTTGGGATCCATTTATGAACCAATACTATACGTATATTTTTATCGTATAATTGTTAAATAACTAAACTATTCATATTCATGTTCCTCTTATTATGAGCTTTATTTTGATCTATGAATTATTATTCTACGATTTACCATTCTCGAGTTATACCCTGTCAATTAATCACTACCTCCCATACTCATAGCCACATTTGGCTAAATCTTCTACAAATGTTATTTCCTATTTTATGGTACGATGTGGTCTCTCTGGTTAGTATACAAACTTAGTATGCTTGAAATAAATAATTCATATCACAGAGGCTGAGATTGGTGTTCTGGACTTAACTGGCTGGGCTAAGCAGGAAGCAGGACCTATAAATAATCTAGACTGCTCGCACGGTTTTAGGCGTCATGGTTCGATCGATAATTCACTGCCCGATAATTGGCGGTATCATTAAGTTATATATTAACAGGACACACAGGCTACAAGTTATAACAGTAATGATTAGAATATTAAATGACACATTTAATATTCAAATGAAAGCTGAGCTTTTATAGGCCATTGTGAATAAACTAGATAATCAATTGAATTCAACTATTTATCCTAGATTTCATGATTAAGAAAACTTACCATGAAGGTATAGATCAGTAAAAATTAATACTCATGAAGCTAAGTGAATCAGTTTATATATATATAATCAGATTTAGGGTAACAGGTCATGGATCTTAGCACAAAATTCATTCATTTATTTCGGCATTTTAGTTTGTCAGTTTATGATGAAAATCCTTAATCTAATTCCAAATAATAACCGTCAGCTTTAAATCATAATTCTAATTCCTCAAACCGGTTGATAACCCTCATTAGTAAATGGACATTTTCAAGGTTACGTTAGCGTCACCCGAAGGTTGTCCATAGATTATAGTTTCACCATTTATCCTTATTGTAGTTTTTCAATTAACTTTCATTTTACTGTCATATCATCTTTCAACCATTCAGAAATCACAGTTAATTAACACTCATCCTTCCTTGGCCCTAATTCCTTTAATGGAACCTGCAGGTACACCATAATAAATTTGTTACTTAATTTCAGAAAAATTTCATCTACAGTTTATTCTAAACTGGTATGTTATGCAAAGAATTAAGTAGATTTTTGAGTCTAAATAATGATAACACACAAGAAATAGTACAAGATCAAATACATGGAACTCAACTAATCTTTATAGTGTTATGATGAATAGGTTTAAGGAACGATGAATTTTATCTGCAAACTATCGCATATTTTTGAAATACAGTTTTGTGTAGAGTTCATGGATTGAGTGTTGTTAGTCCAGGTGGAAATCAAAATACAACAGACAATCATTCTTCTCCTTCTTCATGCATAGATTAAATTTTCAGAGTTTGCAACAACAGATAGTTTTGTTTGGGTTCTCTATCTGATTGGACACAGTTCAGTGGTTATAATTCAATTCAACCTAGCTTTGTTGATCTTTTCGGGTACAAAAGATAATTTAATCAAAGAAGAAACATTTTAAACCCTCCCACACTGTTTCTAGATCAAATACCTTGATATCTTGATCTCGACTAAATAACCTAATGTTAATAGCACTGAACAAGAGTTCTTTCTTTAAACTAATGATAAACTACGTTGTTCAAAATTTAAGCAAATAATACAAGACTATGATTTTACAAAAACAAAGTTATTCAACTTACAGATAAAATTTTCCCTTGTACAACTTGACTACCAACATGACTTAATAGGCTTTGTGCCCCACCAATTAATTTCGCTGATGTATTTGAGCTTAAAAGTAATCCCGTAGCCAGCTAAAGGGAAGAAGAACACAATTGTATTTCATATTAGTTAAATGTTACCAGTAAACTGATAGACTGTGCTGTTTCAGACAAATAATATACCTTTGTTCACGTGCTATCATAAGGATAAACTACAGGCGAGAGATAATGAAGAAGGCACGCTATTAGATAAAATCGATTATACACTTGTCAAACTCGTGGACTATACATACTTGTCTAAATAAATGATTTGTGTACACTTCATTCGGTGTCCCAATTATAAACTTGAAGATGTTTCTTGATGGTATGAACTTATTATCAGTTAACTTGTTCCATGGATTTCACTCAATAATGAAAAATAGAGATATAAATTCAATTTATTTCTTTCCGTTATTGAACTCACCTAGTGATTTGTGGTGATTATATTTAACCATAGAAAAAAAGATTACATGTTATAAAACTAAACAGATCCCCCTTGGAAGTTGAAGAATAAATATCGGTTACTAGCTAACCATTATCAACATTCATTAAATCTAACCGAACTTTATGAATCAAATTTGAAATGCTTAGGATAACATGAAACAAGGGTACTAGGCTTCATAACGTTTTTACACAACTAAAATGAAATTTTAATTCATTTAAATATTAATTCACCTGTTATGGTGACAGCAATGTAAACTTTCCTCATAGAATTCTGTTAGCATCATAATCTAAACATTAAAATAATAATTTCAATGGTTGAAATCAAGAGTCAATTGAATCTAGACCACCATGGAGAACCTGAAAGCACTGAACAGCCGTTTCGTCCTATTGTGGGACTCCTCATGATCTCAACCATTGAAATCACTATAATGTCCACGAAAAAACCCCTTCTGATATTAAGATATTAGTTGATATTTAAAGACTAATTAGAACATGTCTCTATTTTTCTATGAGCAAACATTTGACTATATTAATATAAAGTTTATCTTTGAGGTCTTGAATGAACAGAAAAATATGAAAGACCCATGTCAATCTGGGTTTACTATGAAGCCAAATATAGTAATCCAACATTTATTGTGTTTAAAAAAGGTATACACTAAAAGTCTATGACATTCAACACAAAGTTTATACCAGTTGCACAAGCTAGTGACGATTTGAACACAGTAGTTTTAAAGGATAGCGAGTTCGGCATTTGAAGCAAAAAGTATTAGACCCAAGTATCAGGGTGAACACCAACACGTGCATACAGGTACATCTAGCTGATAGGTCTTAAATATCATGAAGTGTATTCTGGATCCCACAGCTAGCCACTTCACAACTTATGATGTTAACCTATCCTTTATTATATTTCCTTAAATTCACTTCTAAAAGACCTAGTTCACAAAAAGAAATAACTTCTTAACTCACCGACATGTTCGAAAGACTGATTTTGCGTGCAGAATAATTTCTAACCTTAAAACGAGATTTTTCCTGGTGAGGAAAAACGACATGTCTTTTTAGGAAAAACAGTCATGGGTAATTGACATCCAGTTTAATTTAACGTCTAGTAGCAGTAACCATTTTTCACTTCTTACTGGTTAATGAAAATGATTTAATGTTATGAACACAACAAGTCTATAAAAATTCAAACATAGCATATTCTGAATAGTGACTAACAATGTAATTAAAGGCTCGGGTTTCGTCCTGTTTTAGAAGTGATAACCAGATTTGTTTATATTTCACCTTTAGTGTTTACACTTAGATTTGGACCCAGTAACCATTCTTCCAAATGATAAAGTTTTACCTACCAAGCTACTGAGTTAAGTTTGATGCAATGGTACTGGAGTGAAATCTTAACCTGCTAACGAACATTGAGATCCAAGTACATTTACAGTAAGTCTCGTAAGTCCATTCTTCATTTTATCACTAGCACTTATCTGAAACTCACTTACTTGTAGACTGAATATGATATCAAGAAATTTGTCAAAGACTGATGAATGTCAACAGAACATTATCAATTATTTCGTGAATATCACCAAAAAATAATGTTGCTCAGAATTTATAGATCAAACAAACTAATAAATGATCGTTTCTCTTCTGAAAACTCCAGAAGTAAACAAACATATATTGATGTAACATTCAATCAACACAGAACATACACATAAATTAAAATATGAAGAGGTAAGAAAACTATTTACCTGTTTTTGATCAGTAACTGCGGGTAGTACAACAAGTTTTTCTAAATTACACATTGTTATTCGCCATAATTGCTTGAAAAAATCAATGTTTGGAAATACAAACACAAATAATTAAACAAGAACGTTGACAACTATTCTAATGTACTGTTTGATATAACATGTATATATATATATATATACATATATATATATACAAGCTTTACATTGTCAAAAAAAAACAGTCTAAGAAGTGTACACTTATATGTGTACTTATTTAGGGAAAACGAATGAGTAACGTAGGAAAAATGGGCAAAAATTAAGTAAATCTTTCTTATTTATAAAAAGCAATACAATTTACTTAAGAATAAACAAAAAAAACTTTGTTCAGTGTAAGTAGAGTTTAACAATAGGATATTTCATACACATAGTTCCCTTTATTATCGTAAAGAGGGCAAGAACAAAGACTGGTACAGTATATGTGGGGCAAACGAGACCCACAAGGTCATAGGTTATTGTAAGTAGAATTATCGATCATCTTTTTCTTCAAGAGTTCTCTGAGTACTTTCGTGATTCTTTTCTCAGCGGAATCAGTTAAGTCTCTGTTACTTTTTTCTAACTTCTGTTTCTATCTAATTTGACTTCACTGTTGATAGATTATAGGGAGAATTTCAGGGGGCTTCCGGGAAACCAAAGCCTTATTGTTCCTTTGACAAAGATTCTTGTATATTTTGCTTTGCAAATCTTGGATAAAGTTGATAAATTTTACGCGATATACGATACTTAGATAGTTGACTAATTCATCAAAGGCATTAGTTTCTGTACTAATCTTTGTTTTTGCTCTCTTTAAAATAGGATATTTGTTAACAATCTCGTTTAAAACAAATTTATATCCTCACTATATAGCATAACACATTTATCACTGATATTCATTATTCATATTTGATATACATTGTACATGAATGCTTGACAACAACTTCTAACCTCTCCTTAACTTCTTAGTAATCTTCTACACTTCAGCCTTGAATAGAAGACAAAAGGTTAAAAGTATGAAAAGAAGCTTCACATTATAGGTTAGTTTACATACGGAAAACAAGGATATTTATGGGTTTATACATGATTTTAATATTTTAAAAGTTTTCTATAATAATAATTCAGTAATAATCCATCGATTTTCTAGTATTCACTAGGAAATTTCCACTAAACTTTAGTTGGATAAAAATGTTTTTCAAGCATTTCCTCAGATTCTGAAAACTTTCTTAAGAATTTTATCTTAACTTTCAATAATTTTTTGTAAATCACAATACATACCTTTAATATTCTTTTTAATACAGTTTTATCACAAACATTTGCTAGTATAGATAGAATACTTTCAAAATGATCCATTAGCGGTTGTAAGCATTCATTTGCTTCATCTTCTTTACTGACACCACGACCAGTTGTATTATCTGAACCATTCGATGGTCTACACTGTTAGAAAAAAAGTATTATTATTACTATATATTATTATTACTATACAGACTCAAAACCAAACGCAGTTAAAAGCATTTCAATAGTCATATATGTTATAACAAAAGTAGGCAAAGTTGTGGTTCCCAATCCAACTCAATATTAGATCACTCGATTATAGATAAATGTATCAGTAGGACTAGACATGAAACTGAACAGTAGATCAATAAAAAAATGTAGATCAAAATACTTGATTAAATGATACACTCGATTCAATTATCTGATCAACGATCAACAGTCGGATATAATTGAGAATCAACAGTGACCAAGTGGAGTTAGAATAGAAAAAAAGTAAAAACAGTTTCATACATGAAACAGTCTTTTATATTTAATGTAGTTGAATATGTATACAATAGATTATTGACCAATTACTTGATTATTTTCACCTGGCACATCAATAAATTACATAATAATGGTAATAAAATAGTATATCTTAATGAGTATTAGTAGTGATATAATATCAATAGTTGAGATCATGAGTCAATTGAAGCTAGACCACAATGGAAAACTCGGAAGCACTGGACAGCCGTTTTATCCTATTGTGGAATTCCTCAGCAGTGCGCAACCACGATCCCACCTCTCGGATTCCAACCCAGGACCTACTGGTCTCGTGCGTGAGCGCCTAACCACTAGACCACTGAACCGGCATCCAGTGTTGTTAATGTCTAAATTCAACTAATCCATGAAACTGAGTGACACATCCACCGTTATCTTCAATGTGTTACTATCTCACAACAGACATGGTTGAACTTCACTAGTTACAGCTTCTTAATAGAACTCCAGGATATACCTCTTGAAGCCAGTCACTAGTGAGCATATGTTGATTAATATGAGAAGGGGTTTTGTGAAGATTTTAGTAATTTCAATAGTGATATAATAATTGAGAAAAAGGCATATCACTGATCTGACGTTCATTTTTGCACTGATAAATGTATACCAATACATAACTTATTGACTCATTTAAAAGTGACAAACATGAGAAAATGAAGAAACACGAATTGGGATTTCTGAATAACCCCACGCAACTAAAAACGTCACGAAACTTGAGAATAAAGAATTAAATGCCCAAGTAAATGAGAATGTAAAAGTACGGACAATTTTCTAGCTTTTCTACTGAAATACTTTTATTCTTCACCAAAGTTAATTTCTTGGATGCACCCATATGGTTACAACGCACTCTATAACGTTAGTCTTAAATCTAATCCCCAAGTCCGAACCCTAACTTCAAATCCTATCCTAACTACATCTTGGGTTTTCAAGCAATAAAATATCCCTTTTTATCATTTGCATTCTGATTGACTAAAAATAAAACGTAGTTTCTCGATGTAATTTAAAGAGCTACTAAATGTCATCCATAAAGCTACCATTAAAGACTAACACCTTTTGTTCATTTTTAGAGATTATCAAAATTGTATAGTAACAGTTTACATCAGTTATTCATTATAGGCTTACGCTAATTGATGAACCGGAAAATCAATTTAATCAGATATAAAAACTGAGCTATTGATTAATCATTTTAAGTAGTATAGATAAAATAACGAAATAAACGGCCAATTTTTTATACAACACATTGAAGTGTAGGCGTTAATGAACAACATAGAATTCAACACAAATCCCTGCCAACCTAAGGTATCGCACTTCAAATCAATCCTGGCCTTATTTTGAACTTATTCTTTTCTTAACCAGAGAAAATACCATATGGGGTTTGTGTTTGTTGAGCCCGAATAGTATATTGCTAAGTTTGGCATGCTTTTTGTGATCATCCAAAAATATGTTCTTTTCTTTTTCTCTTTCTCTCTTTTTCTCGCTTTTTTAACTTCATATTTGTTTTAACTTTGTAGCAGAGTAATGTTTCTCTTATCCCTAGATATACTTCATAATCTAAACAATCTTTTGAAGTCTGATTAAACCTTTAATTATCATGAATTTTCAGTTTCCTAACATCAAATGGATAGACCAAAATACAAACCTTTTTTCATGAATCAACTAAATTTTATTAAAATTATTACCATAGAAAATGGTGCAAAAGCCACCGTCGAAATCTTCAACTAGAATAGTCACTAAACTAGCTCTCACGTCATTCCAACTAAATCTATCCAACAAAATTGTGAAATCTTGATAGTTAGTAACGTTAAGAAGGAAATGTTCAATGGAACATTAAACTTCAATTACACAAATAGCAATCAAAATAGTAAGAACTCAGTTTCAATGAGATTCATATATGTATATATGCATGTACAATCAATTAACCACTGAGTAGCGACTGGTGTTATAATTGTCTAGCTCTCTGATATTGATCGTAGGAGTAGACAAGCATGACATTGGTCATTACTTAGTGATCAATCAATTGTTGTAAACTAAGTGAGTAGCTGCTCGAACAGTTCAAGGGTAACACTTCACTATGTGGGACTTCAGGACGTGGGTTCAAATTCATCAGAAACACCACTTCCCGGGAATACTTTGTTGACCAATGTCAACTAACGCAAAGCTTAAGATCAAGGTTTCATTAAGACACCACCCACTTCAAGTGAGCGGTGTCACAAAACAATGAATAATTTGTACCAAACAAAATTCTGCTATCTCAACTAACCTTCTGTAAAAGTTTGCCACATTCACGTGCATGTGAACGAACCCCGGGTTCGAACTGATCAGTCAGTTGGATAGCTAATTTATCAACTACTTCATTTAATCGACCTTGAAGAGCACTTAAACGATCTCGAGTGTTGGATTCAAGACTGAAAATTAAAAGAAAAAAACGTAAATTGCTTGAGATTAAAAGGTTTACTTCTGGTCTTTGTCAGTAGTATTTGTAATATGATAATACTGTCATTGCAATAGAATCAACAGTTAGAAAAGCATTATTTTCATCATCCCGTAACCTTTTAAATATGCTGAAATTATAAACGATGAAGCTGGAAATAAACGCAATTCGATTAATTATTCATAATCAATGTGATCCGACACTCAATCTATCAGTCATTTAAGCTACCGTATTACTGATGAAGTAAATTACATAACGTTGTCGTTTATAGTATTTAATGTAGCCGAAATTCCTAATGTCAATTGATTACTTTTAAAAGTGTCATATTAAGGCACAACTTTATGAAGAATGATTACAAGATCTAAGAAAGTTATTTCTGATGGATAGACACAAGTTAAACTCTATCAATAGGCAGAGTACTACCAATATTATAAGTAGGCTTTGCTGACAAGTGCCAAATGGCATAAGACCTAAATCCAAGGTTTTTTGTTAACTATCTCCAATCACTTAACATCACAGAAAGGTAGATCTAGACTAAATATTTGAAAAGATTAATATTACGAAAACAGGTATTTAGTCTATTCCGTTTTCTTTTTTGATGATACTCTAACTAATATCAACATCCTTTGGATACTACTCTCATATTGAGTGTATCAGCATAAACTATCAGTTTAACTGAAACCTAAATAAGTAGGTTCTATTTCATAAATGCTGATTATGAGCTACTCATTTTAAATAAGTTTCAAATTTCAAAGAATAGGCTCTCTTATGATCTCCTTCATTTCTCTATAGTTATACTATCAACACAGGTTGGTAATAAGAATTTCATTTCAAAATAATTAATTATGAAATTAATATTCATGATGATTTGGTGTAATTTTAAACCAGCTACCAACAAACTGACTAATCAGAAGGGGTTTTATGAAGATTTTAGTAATTTCAATAATTGAAATCATGAGTCAATTGTAGCTTAGTTGAAATTAGACATTAATACAGTTGAATGCCGGCTCAGTGGTCTAATGGGTAAGCGCTCGTGCATGAGACTGATAGGTCCTGGGTTCGAATCTCGTGGGAGTGGGGTGGGATCATGGATGCGCATGACTCATGACTTCAACTATTGAAACTGACTAATATAAAGAGAAGTGTTTATTAGTTCTCTGTTCCATTTAATTTAATTTCCTTTGAAATAAAAAAAAGAAAAAAATATTTTTCTTTCAAATAAAAAACTGGCCCAGTAATAAAAACATGAATTGATTTATCTACATTTTGTCAGGTTATCCAGGTTTATTTTCTATTTTCTCAATTAATAATCCTTTTTTTCAAATGTAGAAAACCATTATCCTTTAACTAATTTATATTTGATAAACAAACAATGATATTAATCACTAGGCAAAAATTTGTTTTGTGCAATTGTCAGTCTAGGGTTGTGGAGGTTGTTGAGTTTTGATTGAGTCGATTAATTTTAGCCCACCATTGAAAACCTAAAAGCACTAGACCGTTGTTTCATCCTAGTATGGAAATCCCCACCATGATATCGCACCTGGGACTTGAACCCAGGACCTTCGATTCTATTGACCTAGAAGTTAAACGTTCGCGCGCAAAACCTCAGATTCTTGATCTGATTACTATATAAGAGACCATAGATGCTCACTGTTGAATAATTTTATACTGGAACAAAGCGGGCATCCAGTGATTTCAGGTTTTTAATGGTGGTCTAATTTTGACTGGTTCATGATCTCAATTATACAATTGTCATCAGAAAGTTAATTAAATAGGAAAAATAAAAAACTAACCTTTCACGTGCCATATTCTCATAAACTTTTTCTAGTTGAACACGAAGTTGTTGTGTATTATTCACTAATATACAAGCTACACGTTGATCCGTTTTGTATGTTGAGAAATCAGCTAACACACGATCAGCATAAGCAAGGAGAACTTTTTCAACAGTCTAACAATTTTAAAATAATATAGACGTAAAAGGATAAATAACAAAAAAAAAATGAAATGACGTCGGATGAATGAAATCTTGTTGATATAAGTCAGTGAAAATCAACATAGAATATGGTACACATTTGAACTACCCTTAATTACCATACCACATTAGCATGACGAGATTTAATTTACTAGATGAATAGTCAATGAATCAAAATAATGCAGTATTAACGGTAATGAGAAGGACTAAACATCGAGAATATATTTCGAAAATAAGAATGAAACGATACAATCTGTATGAACGAATAATGGAAATCAATATCTAGGGTAGCATAGTGAGAGAGTGCGTTTAAAACATTGTGATGGACTCTAAGAAGTGTCACATAACGTTTCCACTCATTAATTGTAGTTATCGCAATAGCCTTATCCAGGTAGCCAAAATTTACTATCACGACTTAGACTAACAATTAATGACGCCATGGACGGATTCAACGTTTTGGTTTGAAGTTTCTTTGTTTTATTCGAAAATAATCGTTTATGAGCCAAAATCGGGCATTGATAATAAGCAGTGATCAAGCATGCACCATATACCCAACTATCTTGGTTGATGAAGGTCAACAATCATATCAGATAATTTACCATCTTTTTCAAGTACCCAATCCATAACCTCAGCATTCATTATTGACTGTATTATTGTCTAGAATGACAATGATGGCTTCACCATCAAACCTTTTCTTAATTTCACAGAATATAAAACCGCAAATAAAAGTAACCGCCAGAACTATAAATCCTTATCATTATTTCCAATTTTCCTTTTATTGTTTTCAGAATCATTATCGTTGAACTAACCATATACACACATACTCTCGTTCTCCCTTTGTATCTGCATACCCAAACTTAATTCACTTCTTCTTCTTCTTCTTCGTTTTCTTCAATAACTCTACATGAATAGAAATTTTCACTTAGTGATTCACTAATCTAACTACTGAACTTATCAATTTGTTAATTAGTTAATTTTTATTAAATCACTTTGTTCTACCATGAATTATGTTGTCATTTCTATTCTTTATTCAATCAAAAACCATAGAAATGTATCAATCAATTCATTTTATTTATATTTGTTATTAAATAATTCAATACATGAAACAATATTTCAAATGAAGAAGTGGTTTTTGTTATTGTTTTAATCCTTCTAGATTAAGTGTTCCCTTGGTTGAATGTGGTAAAAACAAAAGAACATACAAAGCTTAATCAAAGACTGGTTATAATTAGGCATATTAACCATTGAACATTCCGACTATATAGCTGAATTATGTGATAATATTAGGTGTGAAGCATTGTGAATAACTGAAAACTCTATCGGTGATATGAGCAACAAGATCATGAGTTTGTATTTCTAATGAATCATAGAAAAAGTAAGAAAAAACAGTTGTAAGGTGATTTGATTTAGTCGATAGGACCTTGAAGATGTACCTAGCTTTCTTATCATTATAGGTATCCGTTAACAGAGCGCATTGCTCGAATCCACTAGAGAGCATAGTGCAAGCGATATCGAGCCATTCAGACTTCTAGCGGCATTGAAACCTAGGCGGTAGCAATTGATAAGCATCAAAAGACTAGACCATCATGACATTAACCAATACTTCACGATCAGTAAATTGTACATATTTCAATCTTGACAGTAGTCACTTGTAATCTGAATAGCTCAGTGGTAACGTCACAAAATACAAGACTGGGGGACAGAAATTTAAGTTGACTCGAGGAGCATGATTTTATTCAAGATTACAGGCACACCCTGGTGACACCAAATCCACGCAATGACAACTCAGATCTAGCCTATTGAAAACTGGATGTGAAATTGTAATTTTGTATAAATTGTCATGATTGACGGTTATATAAGAGAAGAATTTCTTTGTATAAAACTTACCCTGTCTATTGTGACGTAATCAGTTGTATACGTTTAAACGATATAAATCGTGTGCTTGGTTTTAAAATAAGGTTAACCGGTTTAGAAATAGTTTAGTAACTAGCTCATTTCAGTACATAATTATTTGATGAAGTTAGCTGTTGAAAAAAACTTAGTTCCGTAAATTTGTTTACAACTACACACAGTTATTTAATCACTCATGTAGATTCAATAGTTAAGAAATTTACTTACCAGTGAGAATCTATGAAAAAATTGTCCTTCAACTTGTTTATCTGGACATTCAAGTTTACGTATAACATCGAAACATTGATTCAATTGAGTGAATACATCAACAACAGAATTTGAATAGAGTACATGTTCACTAGAACATTGAAAACCATCTTGTTTGTCACGATCATAAGCATTTCTTAAATAATTTGCAGACACTTCATCATTCTCAGCTAGCCAAATCAATACGAGACCTTCAAACCAACTGTAGTTTATGAAAAGAATGAAAAGTTACAGAATGAAAACTAAATTAACCGAATACCAAAAACTGTAATAAACTCTGTAGTTATGCAGATATAATGTAAGTAAATATTGTCTAGTCTTATTGTACAAACTAAAACCCATTGATCACACTAGGTACCAGCTAAAGGAACAAACATAGCACCTTAATTCTACTTTCAGAACATAGCTACTTTTCAAAGATCTTCAAGGATTTCAAAAATAAAAAAGGATCAAACACCAAAACACTATGAACAGTTGAAAAGTATTTATTCTCCAAATAACGTTTAGTACAGGAAATTGCATTTCATTTTTATACTGTTAAGTTTGTTACGTTAAACATGTTGCATTATCGAACTTCTAACCAGTTTATAGACTTGCACAAAAACCAACGATCCTTAAACTTTGAAGAATGTTAGAAAGTGGAAAAGCGATAGAAATTTCGCTTCAGGAATTAGATCAGTCAAATAGATCAAGTCAGAACTAATAATCCAAAGATTATGAAAGCTTCAAGTTAAAACTTGTACTTAATGATTCCTTAAATGTTTAATTAGTCAAACTAATCAAAAACAATTTAACTGTTACTCAATCTTTTAGATTTTGTTAGACAGATTTCTTAAACTTTCGACAGATTCGGTCAAGCATAGTTTAATGAAACAGGTGTAACCACCATTAGGTACAATATTAGTACGATCACTATTCATAGGCGAACAGGAAACTCAGTATTGATTACTGTAATAGATAATGGGTTCAAGTTTAGGGAAGACCTTAAACATTCAGTTGATGGATCTTAATCAGACAAGATAAAAATCTGGATTTTTCGAATAATTAACTCCATTGTTTTTATTAATACGTTACTGCCATTTCATTCAATCATTAGTTTGTAATTAGCCAATACTGAATAATTTTCTGTACAGATAAACCATCAACGTACGTCATGACAGAACGACCTAATTCGATATTAAATGTCTATCCTAGTTTCAGTTGTACTAAATAAAACTGTGGAATGTCACAAAATTCAAGAAGTCTACAGATAAAGATGTTCTTATTCTGAGTTAGGAGAATATGTAGGTCATTCTGAAAAAAATAGTTATATATTCGTGTGAGTGTTTTAGTAGAATAAAGGAGACGATATTAAGTTCACCTGTTCAATGTGCAAAAACCATTAAAGGCATAGCATATATAGCATATAGCATATATAGAATATAAAATAATCTAATGTTCAACCAATGTCTAAGAAAAAAAATGTTCCTGTGATACAGAAATAGATCATGAGTTTTTACAACTAGAATTTCAATTCATCCAACGGTTTTATTTGTCAATGGCAACAATGTTCATGCCAATCAATATCAAAGTATTCTATATTACATACTGAAAATTATTTTTAAAAAAACCAAGATAAATTGAATATTTACTTCGACCAAGTTTATAATGAGCGCCTAAAACCCAGATAAGAATTGAACGGTGCAGTAATGGTTAATGCATTTGATATGCAACCATTTAGCCAGTTGTCTAAAACCCATTCTACTTACTTCGATTTTGAGTGAGTGATCAGTATCACTAGCCTTCGAAACGATGTATATATATATAAATCTAGACTTGGTAAATGAGTCACATCAATGAAATGTTTAAAGGTCTTAACGCAGGTCTATTGAACTAACATCAAACAGGCCAGTTCACCGTTGTTTTTTAAATGATGTAAACAATCGTTAAGTTGATTAACCGTCAAAAGAGATCTCATCTAACTTTGAAACATCACACATCGATAACATTTCTCGTATCTTTTCATTCTCAATACATGGATTTAACGTTTGATAGAAACAACTTTTCACTTTATTTCAAATTAATAAGCTAAATGATTCATTTTTAGCATAGGAGATTTGTGGGGATCTTTAAATCTTATAGTCTACATCTAATATATGAAGTAATCACTCACCAGTGTCACTGATAGGTAGTTATCCAATATGGTGGATTGACTGAAGTTAGAATTGTTAACTACTGGATCCTAACTCAGTGGTCTTAGAGTCAAGTGCTCAATGAGAAAAGTGATGCTCTCGGACTTGATCTGTATTAAGTTTATGGATAAACACCTCTATATAATCTAAGACTGAGACCAAAGAACTATTCAATGCTTTAAATGAGATCATGAACCTATCACTTTGTAGATCACCACTGAAAACCTGGAATCACTAGACGGCCGTTTTGTTCTAGTATGGGACTTCTCAGCAGTGAGCATCCACCCGCATGAGGCAGTCGAACCCTAGATTCGCACTACTGAGAAGTCCAATACTAAAACTAAACGGCCATCCAGTGCTTCCGTGTTTGATCAATTCATGATTCCAATTAAAACTTAACAATCTTCACAACACTACTGTTTTCTGGTTTCTAACGGTCGCTTAACTAAGATCAAACCGTTATGTGAAAAACATAACTTCATTTTTAGTCTTTACTTACCGAGGATAATCAGGAACTGAATTTTTGAATCTTGCCAATGTTGCTATATAAGTATTATAAAACCATTTCACTCGAAAACAAAGATTCATATAATCTGAAGATTTGATTTTATTCATTCCACTTTTTAAGACAACTTTATCTTGTCCAGTTGACTTAGATGAATCACGCAATTTATTTACTTTTGATAAACTATCCAATATATTCTCTTCAGTATTATTGAAATAATATTTAGCTGTAATTGTATGCTGAGCTAATCCATTAGCTAAATCATCCGATAAACATTTCCATATCATCTCAGCTGACATATCGCCTAGATTGATTTCATGTGGAAATCTAATGTACAAAGTTAATAAAAACAAAATGAGATGACATAATTCCCAATATCATTAGGATAAATGAACTTAGGAAATTACTTTTTTCACCGTAAACAAATATATCGCTGAAGATTAATCTCTCAACTTAGTCTTGAATCATGTTATAACACTTCGACCTGTCATATACTATAGACTGAATGTTTTTTTTAGCCAGAATCTGTAGTTGTTTATCTTTCTTTTCTTCAACAATTTATCACCATGACCTTGTTATTCATCACTGCTCGTTGGGTTTGATCTCATTGACATACTTCATGACTCTTGGATTTAAGCACTTGGAAATCGTGTAACACAGTGACATGATACATGAAGTAAGTCCTGAAAATGTTGTCTTGAGTGACAATAGAAGCTACTCCATCCATTATACCATTTAGCCCAGAAGACATAACGCCAATAAAATTGTCAGATAATAATAAAAATATTGTAGTGGTCTTTCTGTAGGTTACTATAGCACTACTCTTTATAGTAGTGAACAGAGCTTCCTTAACTGAAAGAAATGTTTGTCAGTTGTGTTCCTAATTGAACTGTATTTCTTATGAAATATTATTTCTGTTCATTTCGTTATGAAGTATACTATCCCTCTCTTTTATTTTTCTTTACAATATTATTTCTCCATTTCTTTGGAGTATGCTTTGTTAGTCCCTTATTGTATCAGGATTTCTACACTTAAGTAAAGACTTCACTAGTCTAGGATAAGTTGTTCTCTCAGGACGATTCTTGTATATTTTCCTGTTTCTTTTTCAAGTGAAAGTCAAAAACATCGTTAATACTGATAAAAAGTTACTGAGTTACTTATATGGAGATCTGTGAAATCTTAAGATGGTTTCAATCGAAAACTAACATAATACACCCAGATGTAGCTATCTTAAGTGTATTTTTTCAATGTTCCAGTGGAAAACCATGACATTTAGAGTCAGTTAAGTTGACAGTGTTAAAGTATCTTGTCAATGACATTGACCAAATCCAAAAATATAGACCGATATATTCCAACTCCACAGATTAATCATACTGTGTAAGCTGAAAGACCTAAAGGTTGTGTATTCGATCCTATATCAGTGAGTATAACTCTCTCTCATTGTCATTCAACTCGAAATTAAAGGAGAAAAACTTCTGTAATCATTCAACTTGTAAACTGTTATTAAATAACACAATAGATCTACACTGTAGATCATTTTAAAATGTTATGCGGAATATTAATAAGTCGAATTTATCAGCGCCCAATTTAATTTTCTTTTTAAAAAAGTTAACTCTTCAAATTTACTGATTTAATACTGGCGCATAATGTTTTCGATCATCTTCAAGAACTGAAACAACCAATGTGATAAGACGATGCCAATAGGTCGGCGATCGCATTCCATCCATTTGATCTAATTCCCCAATTAACGATTGTCCAGCTCCACTATTCATATTATCAGATACAAATTCAGTATTCCCAGATTCTGTATTGGTTGCCTTTATTTAATATAGAATAAAAGAAAATAATCTTGTGGACTAATGACCATAAGCAAATCTAGTAAAACTCGTCTATTATATGGTAGATGTGAAATCAAATTGAGAATGTCAGTTATATCATAAATTAGGATCATTAAGAATACCTGACTATTGTGTTATCTGATACAAATCAGCACAACACACATAAAAAATCTTGGAAAAGCAGATGCTGTGTATTTGAACCGAACACAAGTTATTCAGCGTTACTGTGTGAGAGATGGCATCACTATGCAATTCAGTTTGAACGGAGTAGATCTGGTGCTCCACATAGTTGATTTCTGACAACCTAACATATTTTGGATCGAGATTTCATGTCATTTGGACTAGTAGCCAATTAACCTAGTGTCCTTGGTAGAATTGAGTGACACCAAATGACAAGACGAACATGAAATTGCTAACTACTAGAGATTAGTATGAATCAGTGTAAATGATTTTTCTATTTCTGGTAATCGGTCCTAGTCTAGTAAAAAATTATCATCTGAACGCTTAATTTAAAGGTTGAATTACCATATACAAACTTCAGGTTCTTCAACTCGTCTCTAATAATCACATTAGCATCACACCTGTTGAACAAGTTAGTGGTAGCCTAGATTCAGTTGTTCAGTGATGTTTGAAACCAAGTTTACTGGGTTCAAATTCACATGTTAACATTAATACTAGTGTGCATGTACGTTCAGTTGATGAGTCTCAATATGAATGAAACGTACATTTTGAATGCTACTACTAGACACAATCCATTTACTTTATGTCACTTTAGAGTTAATCAATAACTCTCCCGTTTTATTTGCAAGTTAGTATTTGACTTACTCAAAGATAGATAAATAACTAGATGATATTTCTAAAACCTTTTTCTCAAGAAAAAAGAATAATCAATAAACATTTACCATGGTAACAGTTAAACTCTATTTTACTTCCACATATCATATAAAAAGGTGAATTAGCAGTACATAGAGAACGAAGAAAAGAAACATTTTGTCGTGTACTGTAGTAAAAGGTATGATTATTATTATTAATATTATTATTATTGTCGTTATTATTACTATCATTACAGTGAAACAAATTGTACTCAGTATTGACAAGGGCAATCGCCAGACCAAATAATTATTAGTTATAGTTTTGTTTTCTCATTGCTATTTTGTTCCAAGAGTATGTTAATAAAAAATATTGTTAATTATAATTATAGTTATACCTGGATATCTTTCATCATAATAAAACATTTAAACTGAATGATTCTTTCGTTGAAATGAATGTTTTATAAAGAGTGGGTGTTCAGAAACATCTCAGCATGTTAGTCATTTGTAGTTTTTCGGGAGGAAGAGGGATTGTATGATGTACATAGTTTCCTGAGTGTTGGCATTAATCATAGGGAGAACTGATGTACACTTCACTGATTTGGTTTAGAAGTAATCGAATAGTTTCCTTTAGGTACGCCTTTACTAAGATGATTAAGAGGAATTAAACACAATTTAAGAGTTTCCTAGTGATTAGTGTCCATCATTAAAACGATAAAGTGAATCCAGCTGTAAAATTACTCTACTTATTTGAACAACTTCACTATACCGCTAATAACGCACTTAGGACTCGACCGCACTACTGGTTTATATTAAACTGTCTGAATATTATTTATAGTACCACGACTGACTTGTTCAGACCTGTTTTTGATTGACGGCACCTAATATTCTTGCTTTGTTCCTTTGTATTATTTAAACTTAATTTGCTTATTTATTCTCTGAAGAAGTGGCTTCCACTGAATGACGAAACGTCAGAAAACCTAATTTTCCTACTCATTGGGATATTACAAACATTTTTTTATTTAGATCAATCTACCTTATGCTCAATTTGTTTGAAATCACCATGTCAAACCTTGATAATGATACCTACAAAGTACCACAATTGCTGAAAATCAAAATAACTCTCATGACCATTATTGGATAACTTATCAACACCGGTTTAGTGCAGTACATATTTGTATATGCTATTGAATATTAACCAATTAATTAAATTAATTAATTAAATAATTAACCAATTATTTGCTTACCTGTAAACTTTTCCCATATAAGTCATGTACATTTTCACAAAGGCACTGATAGGTTGCATGAATACAAGCTTCAATACATTCACGTAATATTTGACCTGTTCTTGGAGGTGAACTAAGCTCTTGAACCTATTTTCAAAGTGTAAAGGAGAAATAGAAAAATTATGAAAGAAAAAAAACGGTAAGATTTGGTAGAAATCAGTCTAAATGTGAAAAAAAATGTCACTGGCAATTTTCTTTTTCTTGTTTTCTAACAACTCTTGGATCTTTTAGAATTGAAATTCTACTGAAATTTGATGGATTTGTTACCTAATATTTTTCATCTCACAGTACTTGTGTTAGGTTCAATACTTTCAGTGAATCGATTGGTTTGATTGGAATCAAATGTTTATCCAACACTAAGTATAATACTTATTAAACCATGTTCGATTATTGTATCTAGTCAACTTTTGTAACAAATCTGTCCAGTTGAAGAATATTGGCAGCTCCGGACAAGGATTTTCAAGTTGTGTCGTGTTTTCGGAGGCAAATGATTCGGTCATAAAGATTTTGTCAGCATTCTAAACATCGTCATAAGCACATTATCGTTTTGAATATTTTCTACCTCGACCTGATCTCTGATTTCGAAGTTGTTTATCATTTTTTTATCGTTTGATAGATTGAGTCAATTGCTATCTGTCTACTGATTGGGCTTCCAAACATTCCCTAGATTCCTATATTTTTTCTTTGTTAGATATTTTGATGTTTTTCTAGTCGAACTCATGTCCATAGTTATATACATGCATTGATATAAATGACTCTATGTCATTCCAATCGATGTTCACTTGGACGTAGACTAATAAGATGGTCATTTTGCCCTGTGTGATGCCGCTCTTAATTACTGCATTTCATTTTGTGGACAGTGTTTGGTTTGTTTTGTCTACCATTTTATTCAGTTGACTCCAATAGTGGTGACTGGCAATATTTAGCAGACCAATAATATAAAATTTCGTAAACGCACTATACTAATCTAAATGGATTGTTGCATCGAGATAAGGATGTGTGAACTAAAACGTCCATCTATATACCAAATATCTTGGTAAAATATGTCATTTATTTAAACGGACTGTAGATTTAAACATATTTAAAAGGAATGAATTAATTACATAATTATGCAATCTGTATTTATTCTTTGAGTAGCACAACTTAAAAGATGTACTTTGACAACCGGATTATGACTGGATTCAGGGTAAACAGATTAGACAATTTAAAATGTGAAATCAATAATGCGATGGCTTGTACAAAAGCACGAAAGTTTATTTAGGGTGGGAGCTGTCTTCTAAAATTCTCAATATATTGAAACATTAATGGCTGTTAACCCACAAGTGTACTCAATGAAGATATTGGTCACTAAAGATGAGCATTCAGTTCATCAATACGTCCGACAAAATTTGTATATCTTAATATCCTATTCTGAATTGTACTACTTAAATTCTATCACTTTCATTGAAACTTTCTTCCATTTATAAAGTTGTAGAATGCTAAAACTCATATCGGTGGGTTCTCTCGTACCCCACTCTACTTAGTTACATGTTTTCTGTTCGAACACGTTGAAGTTGTAATTATAGAAATGCTATTAAAGTATAGTTGACTGACTTGCCTTCACAACACTTAGCGAACCAAACTATTCACAAAGTTATTTCATTCTCCTTTGAACAAAATGATTTTCAAATCAAGTTACTTGGCTCAAACCTCTACTGAATGTGTTGTGTGTGTGTGTGTGTTAGTGATTCAAACGGAAATTATGTGTGTTGCAAACCTCTGATAAACTGACAACTATTATATTGATATTTATTACCGAAAAATATCATATCAAAAGAGATAAAAACTTTAGACTACATCAGTACTATAATTATTATTATTACTACTCTGAATAGATCTGTTGAAACGTGACTCACAGGATTGACAATAATACAGTTATATTTTTTAGAAAAATGCTAACAGTTATGTCCACTAAATGACAAACCTACTTTGAGACGAAAAAATGTGATACTTGTAAGAAGATCTACGGTAGATTTCAAATCAATCAATCTTTCTGGTTGTGATGCAGGGAATACAGTCTAGAAAATGAATAAACGTAAAGAGAGAGAGGGGGAAAATAAAGATAATAACTTAACCTGTGTAAATGCGGTAACTCTTTGGAACTGTAACTTTATATTAACAAGTATTTCAAATACAATCACCATAATAAAAATGTGTACATGAAAAAAATTTGATGATTCTATTTGTGGTAGTACTACTAACAAAATATCTGTAAATGAACTACCACTAACAAATTCTTGAATATATATATACTTGAAAGGTTAATTAAGTGCAGGAGATTAGTATTCAGCCATCAAAGCACCCGGATGATAAAAAATAACTACATTTCAATCTATTAGTAACCAAAACAAACTACTGCAAACTATAGATATGACTAATAGACAAGTTAACATTTACTCTACACCCAGATATATTCAAAAATCTATCGTAATCATAGGTATTTCATTAAAACACTTAGGTTGTAGGATATTATCCACCTACTATGATCAATTGTTAACTTATTAAACCTTACACAGCTTTCTGTTCACAAACACATAATCTTTTTCATTGTTGTTATTATCAATACATTATAATCTAGTATGATAACTTTCCTATGGTCTCATATTTATTCACTGTTTATATTTCCTGATAGAAAATCTCATATATATTTGTTGAAAAGAGAACCCTCTTGCGGCTATGTAAATAATTATTTCTATTGACAATAATGATCATGTCGATTAATTTCGTATGTTTGATTACAATAAAGAATTCCGAGAGCGAAAAAAAAATGATTGGAGTTAGACACTAACGTTGTTGGATTCCGTGATAAGGGTCTAGAGGTTAAGCGCTCGCATGTGAGGCCTAAGGTCCTGAATTGGATTCACATATATGCAGTCATGGTTTTCCGCCGCCGATGCCTATCATACGAGGACGAAATGGTCGCCCGATGCCTCCAGGTTTGCAATGGTAGTATAACTAAGACTAGGTAGTTATGTAAAGTCCATTAAAATTCTACAATCTGCCCCCAAACCCTACATTGATAAAAATATAAAAAATGTGCAAGAAATTCCATTTAATATATTATGTATGTTTCATTAAGTGTGTTTCATTCTATCTATGAATCATCAAATGGATGTGCTTGAGTCTTGCTTAGTGTTAACTTTTCCATTAAGAATTGACCCCAGTAAAATTAAATTCTATTTAATTGATGAATATTGAAAATAAATTTGGATAAGTATTTTTCAAAAGTGTCACGGATACTGATTTTTATCCGCGAACTTTTTTGATTGGCTCTGTGCCTAGAAACTTTTATCCATCTCACAAATGATATTTACCACATGAATTTTATCAAAATCCCCAATCGTCCCCTCCTCTTAAAAAACAAATAAAGTGGAACACACTCCATTTTACGAAATTGGCACTGCTTGAAATCTTTGGTGATTCATTTCACAATAGGTTGTTCATGTTTCTAACCGAATCATGTCAGTGTATTATGAACAAAACATGCATAATTAATGAGTGATAAAAGCTTTAAACATGGAAAATACATTGTGATATTTGCATAGTTGAAAAATATATACCCTGTAAGTTTGAATAGATCTCTCATGGGTTGTTTTTTTTTTACAAAAAAAACACACCAACATTTGATTCATTCTTGATGATATTCCAAAAAAAAAGATAATCTTTACAGTAAACAAGTCGTTTTCTGACATTTATTATTATTATTATTTTCAGCTTAATCTAATTAAAGCTAATCCGTATAACACTAATCTATTCAATATTATATCAAGTGTCAGCTAAACTTGAATTGACAATTAGAATATACTGTATATGTATGTGTCTATGAGCCAGAGCTGTTGTGTCTGAACGCTTTGCAAAACTGAGAAGAAAATTTAAAAAAAAAAAACGAAAACAAATCTCATCATAATTTGATCCATCAAATCTTGGTTCAATTTTCTAAAACAAAGTCTGTTGTTATTATCACCATTATTTATTGAACTACTACAGGCTAGATTAATCTTGTTCGACATTCGTTTATTCCACATGGATGTACACACAAACAAACACACATACACAATTGTTTAAACAACTAACCAACATTCAACTTGGATACATTTCTTCAAAAAAAAAAAACAAACAAACTTAGTCCTGGATTTTCATTCTGTTTTCATCTTATTATTTGTTTTTTTATCCTTTCATTTCCTTTCGAAAACAACAACACGGATACATTATTGATGAGTTGACGATAAGAAAAAAGTGAATAGGTTTTACAAACTTTTGTATAGTTATTTGTATGTGTATTCGTTTACATCTTCATAATCGTGTCTTAAAAAACACATCCGTTGTTCATGTTATCCACTAGTCTAAGTTAGTAATGACAATCTGTTTTGTAAAAGTGCTGTCGTGTATGCTACTTATATTGACAAACACAAGTAGTATGTAATATCAATTGAATGTGAAAACCCTGATAGTAGAAGGTTAAGAAGATCGATTTGAACAAAATAGAAGGTAAAATAGGAAGAAATTATAAAGTGGAATAATCATATAGAATGTGAGGGACGAAATGATGGAAACTTGCAATGTATGATTCTCATATTTTACCAAGATATTCTGTAATTTCGTATTTATATGCACTTGGTAGTCCCCACTGATGTTTTTATTCATTACAGTGCTAATAAATTAATTAATGTTTTACTGATAAAGAGAAGAGAAATGCAAAAAGTGAAATTTATTAAAATTATAGAAAGTAATGGTAGAATGATTTAAAACTATCAGAATTTTCGATGTACCGGTGTAAAAGAAAATCTTGAAAAATAAACTGTATGGATTGTATCTAGCGGTGAAATTCACGATGAATATTACGTCTTATTTAGAACTAGTCAGACAGTTGGATTTGCATGCTAGTTTTGATGTTTACCGTAAGATTCGAACCCAATATCTTTCATTTCAAACAACAATGCATTTCCCCAATGAGTCTTAATATGAAGATCAACGTTAGGATGTAGGTAAATCCCAAATCGGACAAAATGTTCATCCTGTATTCCACGGCTGATCACAATCCATCTATTCTGAATACACGTGATAATGTCGAAACAATCAGTACATAATTTACATATACACTAATAAAGACTAATGAAGATGGAGTCCTGAATATTAACAATGGAACAATCCAAACTATTATTAATAATGGTTATTAACAATCATCCAAACTAAATTTGCATGAAATCCTCGTGAACAATCATGGTAGATCAGAAAATAAAAATAGAATAATTTACGATTGATTCAACTTATCAAAGTAAAGTACAAATCAGTAGTCAAATACCGATTGTGTAAGTAACATTCAGTTGATACGTAGATTAATTATGACTTAAGTAAATTTAACTAGTTGGAGTTATTAATGTCATAATGAACTGTAAGCTGTCATCAAACAAAGAAACTGAGATCAAAAACAGTTCGATTCGATTTTAATCGCTCAAAGAATATCAACAGATGATTTAATCAATCAGAAGTACATTGAATAAAAAACGTCATAAACCATTGTTGACTAAAAAGATTAACCTTCTTCCAGGTTTACCTCAAAACAGTAGCATAAATAATCATTCAATAAATATTATGACCGAATAACTGATTGAATTAACATTAGATAGAGTAAAAATGCATCACAAATTATACGAGTTAAATTGCCTCTGATATTATAAGAAATGATAGATGGTGGCTAGCAGTTGAATCCAGGACGCGCGTTTCATTCTAATTGGGGTTCACCAGTCGGATGCGTCTGCATCCCAGAGTTGATGTTCACTCTGGCACTCGAACCCAGCACCGTTCGCCCCAAAAGTCATCACGTTATCCACTTAGCGAACAAGTCCTGATAAGAGGTACATCCAGCTGACAATTCCCAAAACACGTGCTCTGTATTCCACTGCTGCCCACCATCCATCTTTGCTTATGATACTTGTGACTTAAGGCAATATCAAGGCATCAATGGGAAGATTCAAATAAACAATACAAAGTGAATCGTATCTGATATTCTTGTGAATTTAAAGTTAAAAAATCACAGATCTTCACTGAGACAACTAAAATATAAATTTACACAGATTGGTAAATTAGCAACTCAGTTCACTAATGAGGCTATAAAATGTTATGGAATGAGGTGGTTAGGACATTGGTTACTTTTGACTAACCAACATCTAACACAATGTACAATGTGGTCTGATATAAAAGTGACTTGGAAGAAAGACAGAGCTCATTTTACGAAATCACAACCTTTTGATCTGAGCCACGTCGTGAATTTTCGTTTTCTAGGTTAGAGCCCACTGAATAATCATAATCAATTTGTGAAAACACTTAGGAACATGAAAACACTTCAGTCATATTCACTCAATTGTAAGTATTTTCTATCTTTCTTTACACCTCTTATCGACTATCATTCATGACTTTCCAATCATCGATCACATCTATTCCTCCAAGAAGGTATTATTTCATCAATAGGTTTCTTGTATAATACCAGCCATCTTGTTGAATTTCTCTCGTTCAGCTGATGTGAAGTGCAACAACATGGAGTGATACATGTAAACATCAGATTCGACGTTGATAATGATCAGTGGACAGATGAACTTAATTGTGGAATTATCAACAGAAGAAAAACTGTTTAAATCCTATGTGGATTAGGGATAATAACATGATTTCTGAATTACAGTCTCACATCGTCTATATGGAATCTATGTGATCTTACAACCAGATGGTTTCGGTAAGAAATCCATGGTTCTGTAAAAGCAATCTGTCGCTTAAATTGCTGCGTGAGTTATACTGTCAAACAAATCAAAAACCATCATATACTTTTTATTAAATTATAATGATTAGAAGTCGTTCGAAGGAAGCCGTAGGCCTAGGTTTCATGTCATGAAGGTCAGTCAGTGTCTAAATGACTCAGTGATAAAATCATAGCCTATAAAGACGGTTGCTGACAGTTTGAATCTACTAGCAAGCATCAGTTTCTCAAGATTCCAAATGAACTTTGCTGAACAGTCTCAACTAGCAAAAGCAGGGTTTTCAGTCGATTACCTTGAACTACTTAATATCTGAACATATTGCATGTGACGTTAAATTTTTTAAACTGTTAGGCATATTACATCGACAGAATTTGATCAATGCTAAAAGACAAGACAAACATGACATCAGGCACTACTCAATAACCAAACAGATTATTCTTTCATGTTGCTGACTTCCTTCTTACAATGCTTTTTTTCTCTCCATGAAATCAAAGCGTAATCAATACTTCAATGATCATTGTGAAAATAATTACCTTTTGTTACTTACTATATGAATATATGTATATAAGTGTGCCTATGAATGGAGTTAATTCATTCATGTTCCATATATTGTACAAACATATTTGCATCATAAAGTACTAATCTATTTGATAACTTACTTATCATTGTATCGTATTATCCAATTAATCTTAATAAACATATATAGTATTATATGGGTGAATTTAATTGAATAATTAATTACATCATCATTATCATTGAAGTTAATTTCAAAATGCAATCGATTACTTAATATGTAATGAGCTAAATTGTAATTATATCTTATATTATTAATGTTATGTTGATACCAATACTACTGACGACATTATTATTACCATTATTATTATTATTACCAGTTAAACTTACCTTTGTAGCAAAACTCTTTCACATGAATCGTCGTTATATATATATATATATATATATATATATCAGAATGGGTTTTGTGGAGATTTTTGGAAATTTCACTGATTGAAATCATGAGTAGATTGAAGCTGGACCACCATGGAAAACTTGGAAGCACTGAACAGCCGTTTCGTCCTGGTATGGGACTGTTTTAAGGTCTGTTGTGAGGTAGGAACTCAGTGGAGACAATGGTGTACGGTGGCGTAACTTCGTGGATTGGTTGAAGTTAGACATTAACACCGCTGGATGCCGGCTAAGTGGTCTAGTTGGTTAAGCGCCTGGCGCGAGGCCGATATGTCCGGGTTTCGAATCTCGCGGGGTGCGAGATCGTGGGTGCGCACTGCTGAGGAGTCTCATACTAGGACGAAACAGCCGTTCAGTGACTCAAGGTTTTCCATGGTAGTCTAGCTTCACTTGACCCATGATTTCAACCAGTGAAATATATATATAAGTGTCTATATAGATAACAAGAAGTGAACAGAATTATATCCACAAACACTTACACGATATTTTGATAAATCAATTCTTATGGCGATATATAAATTGTCCAGTAATTTAATGAATTTCTCTCGCTAGTAAAAAAATTGTTTTTTTTTAATAATTTACATAAAGAGAGAAAAAAAGAGAGAGAACATACAGAACAATGTAAACAATAATTAAAGATATGAAATAAAGGTAAATGAAAAATTGTCAATAATACATGCACAACAATTGTACTTTAGAATCAAGCAAGAAAAAGTAAAAGAAATTAACAAAATATCAGTTAAGTTAGTCGGTCAGTTAATCATTCTCAACATAGAACCTTGTAGGTATATACATTGGTTTAATTGCCGTAACACATTAATACAGTGAAGTGAAATTATTAGAACAAATACCAGAGTAGTAGAGATAATTATAATACTATCAATGATAGTAGAAAAAGTTGAGCGTCGAAGATACAATTTGAGAAGAAAATATAAATTGATGAGATAAAAAATTTGGTAGAATTCAGAAGCTCAGAATTTAGGAGAAAACAAAGAGTAAATGAACCTGCTTCACTGTAAACGATTTCAAGCTGTCATTCGAACTCTCTAACTGGTGGTTACGATAATACCATGAACCCTTCCAGGTAGTTTACACCTAACTACATAGCTCAGTTCAAATGTCCGTGTCTTAGTAGATAGGCTGCACGTGTTAGCTTCATCACTTTTAGCTTTCTTCTAACCTACTCCTACCCCAGACAACACCGTCTTGGAGATAGATGATGGTTGAGAATACGTAACATATGCTCCAATCACCTCAGTTGATGAAGACTTGCTACATCATCAATCGATTTCCCATTATTACTTGACACGCCATTCCTAACCCAACTATTGCTTACGCGGTGCTCTCAAAATACTCAAGAAATACTTCGAAAACACCTATGATAGAATTCTAACAACCTACAAATATCCTCCATCTTTAGACTAGTACTTTAGAGGTAGATGGATATCTTGCCCATGCTACGACTGACGGAAGTCATACCGGCGTTTCGTCAGACACTAGGCCGTTGGGACTTAGAGACTCCCAAGACAAGTGAAGTGGCCGGTATGGTCAACTACTTCACTGCCTATCATTAATTCAGGCACTTCAATTAAATCACAGCTTCATTTATCAATATTGATAAAATAATGATATAATGTCAAATTCAGAAATTCCATATAAGCGCAACGATATATCCAATAAAATAATACTCGTTATAATGAATTTTCACATCAGGTTCTACAACTGTAGGTCGAAATTCATTATCAGTGCAATAGTGTCTCAGTGATTTCGGTGTTTTCAGTTGCAAACCCCACTCCACCTACTTTACAACAGTAATCGGTTAAAAATACCAACCCTCGCACAAAGAGTGTAGCTCCAAGCTGAATAAACGAATCCGTAGCTGACAAATGAGTTGTGAGAAATTATTTACCGGGTAGGACATTAAATTTTAAGTCAAAATTCTCTCTGAATAATTTCTCATTTTTACATTACTTCTACTTATTAATTCCTTTCTAATATTTTTTTAAAAACTTCATTGGACTTCAAGTTGCATTCAAACATACACGGGATGTAAATTATTTTCACATTTACAAACGACTGTGAATTGGGGTATTTTAATGTTTAAATATTTAAGGTTTTACATTCCCAATTGACCTTGATTAAATAACTACTTAAAAGTTAGTAGCACCGATAAGCTATTTTTTCCCAGTATGAAACTCTTCAGTAGTGAGCACATACAGTTTCAGCAGGGAATAAACTCAGGAACTTTAGGTTTAAGGCTATCCGCCATTCTTTCGAACTCCTTCGTTTGCATCTAACAGAATACATTTCGAATAATGTAATAGCGTCACTGTTTTCAATGGCTAATTCTAGCTAAATGCAGATCTGTAAGGCAAACGGATACAACCAATCATGGACAATTCTGTTAGAACGAACTGGCAAAACACTTGTCAAATAACTAAAATGCTCATTTTCAAGTAAAGTAGACGCTAGTGATGTTTTGTTCAGAATTACAATGAAATCACAACAGTTAAACCGTTTAGCTCGGAGAGCACGACATCAATAAAATAGGTAAATTCACCCACTAGGACACTGAGTTGAGCATCCATAATATTCACTTTTATAAAGCTTAATTCACTAACATATAGATTAACATAACGCCCTAAACCTATACCAAAGCAAGGGCCACATTCTCACCACTGAAGAACATATGGAACTCAAAACAACTGTCAACTGATATCGAAGTCACCATCTTCAATATAAACGTCACGACAGCTCCATTGTACAAAGCTGAAACTTTGAGAACTACCACAAACATCGTCAAAAATCTACAAGTATTTATAAATAGTTTTCTATACAAGATACTCAATATCCGTTGACCGGATATCATCCACAACAGCCTACTATGGGAGAGGACAAAACAGCTTTAAGCCGAAGAGGAAATTAGGAAAAGACTTTGAAAGTGGATAGAAAATACATTACAGAAATCATCAAACTGCATCACGATGCAAGCCTTAACTTTGAATCCTGAAGGGTAACGGAAAAGTGGAAGTTGGAAGAACACACTACATCGAGAACTGGAAGCAGACATGAAAAGAATGAGTAGCAAGTGGAAAGAACTGGAGAGGATTGTCAGGACAGAGTTGGATGGAGAGTGCTAATGGGTGACCTATGTTTCTGCACGACGGGTAACAGACGTAAGTAAACAGTTAGTAAGTTCAAACCTCTACGGTGAGCTTATATGAAAACCTCTATCTACTAATAAAAAAATCTGGTAAATAATAGATAATATGTAGTAAGTAACAAACTAACTTACTCCAAAATTACTGGCACTAAATCGTTCACTAGCTGTCTGACTATTTGATGATGTTGTATGTGCATAAAATGCATTTATGTTAGCCAAAAGTACAGATAACTGAGCTGGTACACCAGGGCAATTATATTTAGCAGTTAAGCATGCAAAATGCCTGAAAATATTGACAAATAATTCAAGCATATATTTAAACCAAATAAATAATGAACAACTAATTGTGTCAAGTAATATTAACTCTGGAAAATCCAATCATAGTCACCTGAAATTTTCAAGAAAACAGTAGATTGAAACCACAGATTTGATGGAAATACTTAATGGCTTAAAACCATTTGAATAAAATTCAGGTGTGGTGTAGGTTTCTTATATCCACACAAGTAGTATATAACGGTGGTAAGGCATAGAATGTATTTTAGCAGAAGTCGATAAGGAAAGAATGTGAACAGAACGCAATTGATATGAAAAGGCATCTACAATGAAATCTGAGACAATCGACTGATATTTACAAAGGAACAGTCAAATTTGAGACGATGGATTGATATTTTACAAATTATCGATTTACTATATGGTTCACAGATTTTATTGAGATGCTCTGTAATTTCTTGTCAATTGTGTTCGATTGTCCGCATTCGTCTTCTTGTTCACTACACAGGTATCCTTAGAAGCAATATGAAATGTTAGAATTAATATTTTGTGTAAAATATGTGTGGTTTATTTGATTTTATAAGAGGACGTTCGAATGTAGAACAATAACATTAAACAACTTTTCAGTATAACAACTGATGTTGGATTTTAACCCCAACTAAAGTGAAGTAATATCCTATCAGAAACAGTGCGAAAACATTTTTGGATTAACTAGAAGAAATGACAAACCATAGGAGGATTCAACAGTTTTTCCAAGCAACAACATTTAACTATTTTTATTTATTTTATTAATTTAGACCTAGAATTATTGAGGTCCAGTCGATGACAGTCTATGTGATTCTCTCATGTATAAATTATTTTGAACCTAAAGACCATTGTTTCAGGAATTCATCAATAGTTCATGAATATGTTGACCGCGATGGACAACTGAACCAATATTCCTGACCATGAGGTTGATTTGATCTGCTCCAACACTTTGAAAGCAATTTAATCAGACCAACTATGATGATCTTATCACTTAATTCAGTCACTTTTAACTGATAATCAGTTAATGAAGATCAGAATACATTCATTCACTCAGGTTCCAGAATGTCCTATTAGGGTTCTCTGGATTCAAAACTTGGACCCCTAATTCTTAACTTATATAAAGAATCAGAATAAATTTATTTACTTATTTATTCGTTTGGTTAAACATATACATTGATATTAAGAGTCACTAGAATATATATGTGCCGCACAAAAGTAACATGAGATTATCAAGAGATAGAGAAAGGAAGGTGAGTATAATGAACAAGGACAAGAATGAATAAAAACAAGTGAGTGAGAGTTTTAATAATAACATTAATAATAAATCGAACATTACATCAGGACCGCCACTAGCTATCCAACAATGTTTCAAGCCACCTAGTTACACTATCTCTAGGACGCCGACCAAATAGCTGCTAAGGTCCGACAGATGTCATTCTTGTTCAGGTTTCTTTCATACAACGGTACCATGTTATAAACTGACCACCTCTCTGCTTTTTTTTAATCAGTCCCAGAGTCGGAAAATAACTCATGAAGTGTAAGACACTGGGGCAGAATTCACAGGACATATCCAGGTCACTAAGGTCAGTGCTGCAAGATCGTCACAGACATTAAATTATCGTCACTGTGTCTGAACACGCGTTGCTAAACTTCCGTATTACTAATATGGTGTTGCCACTGAATGTCAAGAATCTTTCGAACTTAACTCAGTCAAATATATATGAAGGTAGAAGGTTTTGGATCATAGGTGTCTTCAAAGTATTACTCGCGTTTCGTGGAATGACTGAGTGGACAATGTTGAAGTTAGACATAGGGTGCTTCCTGAAGGTGACAAACTGGTTGACATGGTGGTGAATTTTCCTTAGCCAAAGTTGTTGAGACATGTTACGTATGCCTAACCACCGCCTATCTCGATGAGCTACGCCTGCTAGTACAGGAGTAGGTTGGGAGAAATATATAGATGATCAAGTCAAAACGTGACATCAACCCATAAAGTCACTGAAAGTTGTTCTGAGTCATTTAGATAGGTGCAGACTACATTGTTGAGGCCTGCCGATAACCAGTATCAAAGGCTGGAGACTTTGGCTTATATGGCTCACAATCGTTCAGAGAGGAAAGAATTATTCACTCACTATCTTATTGTCAACCTTGAATTCGAGTATCCTTTCATAAATACCTTCATACATACCTTTCCTCTCCGTCCTTTGAAATACATTTGCAAAGTTCAGTGCCATTTTTATCTACGGAACTATATTATTACGATCTCTTTTGTTATTTTCACGTTGTCATGCTAATTGAGTATGACAATTTGGGTCACGTACATGCATTCATCGTTTTTAAAAAAAAACATTTTTTCAATGTTCTATCAGTTTAGTAGTCTGTTGTTCACTGACAGTAATAATTGACACATCATCATGAGAATTATATTTTTCGGTATCATTTAATGAGAATTCTCAAGACTTATTATTTTACAAACAAAATTATGACTAAATTTTTCTTTCTAATAAAGAAAAATAGTTGAAATCACGAGTCAATTGAAGCTAGACCATCACCCGGAAGCACTGGACGACCGTTTCATTCCAGTATGGGACTCCTCAGCCGTGCGTATCGACGACTCTACCTCCAGCGGGATCCAAACATAGGAAACATTGGCCCCGCGTGCGAGCGCTTAACCACTAGATAACTAAGCCGGCATCCAACGATGTTAATGTTTAACTTCAACTATTGAAATTACTAAAATCTCCACAAAACCCCTTCTGAAAAAATGTAGTTAAAATTACTTGAAGAGGGAGAAACTGATAGGGTGGGAGGGAGAGAGAGAGAGAGGAAAGAAAGAGCGAATGAAAGAAAACAATGAAACCAAAGAGAACAAACAACTTTTTTGAATTCAATCAAACGACTTTTTTGATTCATTCCAATTTTTCAGAAATTATTTATCAAAGTAAATTCAAGACAAATTCTGTCAAATTGCATATTACAAAATTAATATAATTCCAATTGAGAAAAAAAATTGTTTATCATTCGTGACAGTGATAGTGGACTAGATTGTTGAAATAAGTATGTAACGATGATCAAACGAATGATTGATTGATTAATGAAAACAAACGTAATGTTGAAAGATCCATTAGATTTGTTTATTATATAGAACTTGGAAAACCGATTGAATTTAAAGTAATGGAAAAGAATAACATAGAATATTAGTGAAATAGTATGCATAAAAACCAAACAATGGTATTCAAAATGTCAGTGATCTTCATTATGAAATTATTAATATATAGTTGTGTATAATCGTTGAAGTCTTTACATTATTTATATAAGCCAGTCAGCTACAACGTAGGACCAGGTACATATATGCATAGTTTCAAGTTGCCACACTTCATTAGCACAGCAAGATGAACAACAGATTCATAGAAGTAGTTAATTCAATGGCGGTGATATATAAAAGAAAGATTGCATATATGGACATAGTACACGAAGAAAGATTTAGTACGTAGAAAGAAAGATATGAAGCGATTTTAATCTCATAGTTCAGGGGAAGACAAAGAGTGTATACACCTACGCCATTTCGTAAAATAACTTCAGATAAAAAAACGTTTAGATCATACATCTCAGTTTTTGATGCTAGACGGTTGGGGCAATTGATGTAAATCTCTGAATCTAGGATTTGATCATTGTTAGTACTTGTGTGCAAGGCTTGTGTACAGTTTTGAAAAGATCAATGCTTCCCATTGAATATGAACTTATATCAATCAGTGTTGTTATACTCAGAAGTATTTACGATCGAGTGATTTAGACTTCACCTAACTATATTCATAAACAAAACAGTAAAATCCAAAGCTTCATGAAAGGTTGCTCCAGATATCTAACACCAAAACATAATGTGTTTAATGTCTAGCCACTTACACTAGTAATTAAATTGTGACTACTGAAAGAAATCGGTCAGCAACAAGGATTTGCAATAAATGACAATGATTATTACTGAATGATCAAAAAATGCAACCAGCTTTCTATATAGCTAGGTGGTGATGTTTAAAGACTAGTTTGATTTGAAGATGATTTTTGTCACAAACCAAAAATCAGGTAACTATGTGCAATTGTTGTGATATATTCTGACACTTAATAACAGTAGTCGGCCCCGTTCATTGTATACTGGAGCAAACCTACAAACCATGGATCTCTCCATAAATAAGATACACTTATTTGCTTGATCTGGAATTAAATAACTCAAGATATAGCACAAAGTTTATTCTCCGTCACCTGAAATAGTCGTCTTACTATCAACACGATTGAATCCCACTAGAAAACAGTTTCACACAATAATTGCAACATCCAATCAATAAACTAGCTGTTTATATATGAACACTATGTACTTATACTCTTTGGCTTTAGGCCTGAGTAAACATAAAGACAATACTAGTGATGGTAGTAATAATAATAATCATGGAAATAATATTCTATATGAGGCCAAAATATCTAGATTAAAAGTAAACATATTAGAATCAAACACTTAATTGAAAGAAATGTTTATGAATTTGTCGATACTTAATTAATTTCTGTCCAATAATTAGTTTATAGTAAAAACAATGTGGACATTAATAATAATAATAATAATAGTAATAATAATAATAACGGTAAAATAAGACAAGCTTACGTCATTGCTTGAAATATTGGTTCAATACCATAACGTATAGCAAATTCATCAACGATTTCCTGTCCTATTGGATTGAAATACACTCGCCATGCTTCATTACCCTACGACGATAAGGAAATGTGTGTGTAAGGGAAGAGGGGGGACACATGAGATTAGTATGGAACAGAACTATTACTATTACTACTATTCTAAGAAAATCGAATAAATGCAGTTCCGTTGTTTACACTCTTAAAATATTTTAGTCCCCTTCTATCATTAACTAATCCATTGAGTTTTGAAAAATGTAATAGTTTATGCGGCGTACAGCCTTAATATTAATTTATTTAAAAGCTATTTTCCAAACAATCATGTTGAAGGCTATTTATTGAATGTCAGTTTGCAAATGACTTTTTGTCTGCCTATTTAGATAATGTGTTCATCAGAGTATTATATCATTCATAAGTATCAATGCCAAGATTGAATGTGATAGTTCCAAATAAATCAAGAACTTGGTAGAAAGTTAATGGTTAAATAGTTCCTATCTAAACTTGTAACTTTGCCTGTAGCTCTTCGAGAGTTACTGCCGGTTCTTAACCCAGATAAAGGAGGAGGGTTGAGCATGGGGTTGGCAACCTCATCTCGTAGAAAAAAATCTTGCTAAATAAACGTCAACCAGATTAAACAAACTATTTAAACTCTGTTCTTCGAATTGAAGGATCCAGGATCATCAAAGCATCATTCAAAACGAAGAAGAAGGGAATTACAGTGAATGTTATCTAATGTTATGCACCCACCGATGATAGCAACGACGACAATAAAAACCAGTTCCATGAGAGGCTTCAATCGGTCATAGAGAAGTGCCCAAGAAAAGATCTCAACATCTTGTTGAGAGACCTAAGCGCTAAAGTCTGAGTAGACAACATCATATATGAAGATATCATGGGACGACGTGGACCGGGAGAGAAAAACGAGAATCGCGAGTGATTTGTGAACCTATGTGCATTCAACAAATTGGTTATAGGCGACACAAACGTGTACACAAAGTTACATGGGTCTCACCGGATCACACCACGGAGAACCATATAGATCATATTTGTATCAATAAAAAATTCAGAAGATACATAAGGGATATGAGAACCAGGAGAGGAGATCACGTTGCTTCATATCACCACCCGGTTGTGGCCGAGATGAAATCGAAGCTAAAAAACACACTGGACAACTGGGGGAACAGCATCATAAAGATTCAATACAGCCTTCCTTTGAGATACTAACAAACACAATGAATTCAAAATAATTCTCAACAACAGCTTCCAAGCCTTAAAGGATCTGCTGAAAGAAGATAAAACTACTATGGAGGACAACTGGAAATGGATCATAGAAGTATTAATTTCATTGTGTTAATAAATACTGGGTAGCAAGAAGCTTCGTCATAAGGAATGAATGTTCATAGAAACGCTGGACAAGATTCGAGAAAGGAAGAACAAAAAGACAGCAATTAACAACAGCCAAACAAGAGCCAAGAACGTCATGGCACAAGCTAAATACACTGAAATAAACAAGCGAGTGAAGAAAAAAATCAGAACTGACGAGCAGAAATACGTAGAAGAGACAGTAACAACAGTGGAAAAAGTTTCAAGAAAAGAAAATATAAGACAGCTTAGGATACTACGAAGAAACTGACAGGAAAATATAGTAAACCAGAGAGCCGGTCAAGGACAAGGAAAGCAAGTCAATCATCGAGATTCAAGAACAGAGAAATAGATGGGTAGAATACTTCGAGGAACTGTTGAATAGACCAGCTCCATTAGATCCAATGGAAATCAAACCAGCACACACAGACCTTCCTATAGATGTCACTCCACAAACTATCAAAGAAATCAGTATGGTCATCAGACAAATTATCAATAGGAAAGCAGCAGGACCTGACAATATACCAACTGATGCACTAAACTCAGACATGAAAGTAATTACAAGTATGATTCACCTTCTCTTCAGGAAGATTTGGGGGGAGAAACAAATGCCACCGACAGACCGGAAAGAATGAACCTCATCAAGATACCAAAGTAAGGAGATCTGAACAAATGTGAGAACTACAGAGGAATCACACTACTATCCGTACTAGGAAACGTTTTCAACATAGTGTTGCTGAACCGAATGAAAAACTCAGTGAACGCACAACTTCGAGATCAACAGGCTGGATTCCGTAAGAAGCAGACATACACAGGCCAAATCGCGACACTACAGATCATTGTTAAACAATTGGTTGAGTGAAACTCGTTGCTATACATCAACTCCATTGACAATGAAAAGTCGTTCGACAGCGTGGATAGAAGAACATTATGGAAACTTCTTCGACAATGGTTGGCCTGGGAAAATCCTCAACATCATCACGAATTGATACGATGGACGACAGTGTAAAGTCGCGCATAGAGGGCACCTGACAGAACCATCCCAAGTAAGGACTAGAGTCAGATAAGGATGCCTATATTCTCCCTTTCTCTCTCTCCTGGTGGTCAACTTACTATGAAGATCTCGACGTCTGAGTGGAAGCACGAGATACAATGGACAGCTCGGGATTAATTGGACGATTTGGACTTTACAAATGACCTAGCCCTCCTATCCCATAGACACGAAGAAATGCAGATAAGGACAGCCAGTGCAGCAGCAATCTCTGCATCAGCAGGCCTCAACATACACAAGGGGAAAACTAAGATCCTCAAATACAACACCGAGAACACCAATCCAATCACACTTGATGGCGAAACTCCGGAAGATGTGGAATCATTCACGTACCTGGGAAGCATCATCGATGAACAAGGAGGATGTGATACAGACGTGAAGGTGAGGAATGGCAAAGTGAAGTAGCATTCCTACAGTTGAAGAACATATGGAACTCAAAATAACTTTCAACCAATATCAAAGTCAGAATCTTCATTACGAATGTCAAGGCAGTTCTACTGTACGGAGCTGAGACTTGCAGAACTACTACAACCGTCATCAAGATGGTACAAGTATTTATGAATAGCTGTCTACGCAAGATACTCAACATCCATTGGCCGGATACCATCAGCAACAGCCTACTATGGGAGAGGACTAACCAGTTTCGAGCTGAAGAGGAAATTAGAAAACGACGATGGAAATGGATAGGACATACATTACAGAAACCACCAAACCGCATCACGAGGCAAGCCCTAAATTGGAATCCTGAACGGAAGAGGAAAAGAAGAAGGCCAAAGAACACATTACGCCGGGAAATAGAAGCAGAAATGAAGAGAATGAATAGAGATTGGAAAGAACTGGGAAGGACTGCCAGGACAGAGTTGGATGGATAGTGTTGGTGAGCGTGTAAGTAAGCCAATTTTTTAGTTGCTTACTTATTCTGAAGGAGTGGCTTTCATTAAGTTACGAAATATCAGAAATACAATTTTATACTCATTGAGATATAGTAACAAAATATATATTTACTATTATAATGTCAGTTAGATATACTTAGCAATAATAAATTTTGATTAGAATTTTGCCATTTGGCTTACAGTAAAATTTAGAACACATGTTTCGTATCATTTCTGTTTTCAGTCCTTAATAACGAAATAAAATTTCAAACTTTCAACTTATCATAGACAATTTCTCACAGCCGATTCGATAGTTTTTTCTTTCAATACTGTATCAGATAGTGTCAGAAAGAACAGGACAACAATTTTCCATCAGTAGATTAATAACTTGTCAATATATGTTACTGATAATAAAGTTAATAGTAAAGAAGAAATAGATAATGCACATATCGTGGGCGTGAAGCCGATGAAACGGATATGAATTACAGTAACATGATAGATAATTATGCAACTAGATGAAAATAGGCAGCCTTTTTCATCGATGATCCATCCAGGCTATATTTATCAATTATTACGAAGTGGAAACAACAATGATGGAAACGAAGAAGTGATAGTTAAATCACAGTATTGACTAAAATAGAATTTTAAATAGAGCAAGAACAAAGATTGGTGCAGAATAATACATGAATTCATTTTATTTCGTTAGGTTCTCATCAGCTGCTTACAACCTAAATTATTTAAAATTCAACATTATTACAGATATTGACATACTTATACAACAGAGGGCGATGAAGGATCAATACATGTGTATGATGATGTAGCAAGCAAAGATTCCGATAGAGTTAATGAGCTCATAAAATGCTTGATTCGAATAAGTTGATATACTGAAGTCCTTCAAGGTGATTAACAAACAATCAAACTCCAACCTTTTGAAATTCACTGAAGCGTTAGCAATCAAATGTTTAAAACCAGATCTATGTATACAAAAAGAGACAGTAATAAATCTTTCTTTATCCTGGTAACAATAACCGCCACCCTTTCTATTCATTTGCTCCTATTTATTTATTTATTGCAACTCTTTCTGAAGTTTAAAATTACATCATACATAAGTGACTGATTTCAATTCATATTTTCTTTATTACCATTAATCTATTTTGATGAGTTCTAATCACTATTTCAATGTTCCGGAACTTTCCCTCTCTAACTTTATTTATTTATTCGAATCAAACATTTTATGAGCTCATTAACTCTATCGGAATCTTTGCTTGCTACATCATCATACACATGTATTGATCCTTCATCGCCCTCTGTTGTATAAGTATGTCAATATCTGTAATAATGTTGAATTTTAAATAATTTAGGTTGTAAGCAGCTGATGAGAACCTAACGAAATAAAATGAATTCATGTATTATTCTGCACCAATCTTTGTTCTTGCTCTATTTAAGATAATAAAGGGAACTATGTGTATAAAATATAATTGTAGCACGTTGGTTTCACTCTATTTAAGACTCGTCGGTTAGATGAGTCTGGTACATCCCGGTGTTGATTTTCACACCGAGACTCAAACCTCTCTGTTAAAACCTTCAACGTATTATTCACTGAGCTATCGACTTTGAATAACCACTAGCTTGTGCATTGGGTGCATTTATCCCATTACACACGGATACATTGAATTCCTTAACGTAAACAATGGGTAAATAGAAACATTTGCAAATTAAAATAAATAATAAACGGTTTAGTAATCGTTTTTTCCACCTTTTTTTTTTATCTATCAAGCACTTATTAACAAATGGAAACTAAACAGACTTTACTGAAAATTAATGAAAAATAAAAGTATAGACTATTGGATATCGACTCAATGCCCAAAATAGGTACTTTTTTAAAACTTGTTGTCAGATCAATAGGATGCGAGCTGAATTCCTTATGAGATAATGAGTTTGAATTAATGAAAAATTACAAATAGAAATGAAACAGTTATCTAATGAACCCTGTCTATAACTATAAATGTCATCTTAAACGTTTTCTGGTTATGAAATAGGTACCAGGAAAACGTAGCGAACAAGAACACGAGTGGAGACAATCGAATACAATTTGACAAGAAATTACAGAGCATCTCAATAAAATCTGTGAACCATATAGTAAATCGTTAATTTGTAAAATATCAATCCATCGTCTCAAATTTGACTGTTCCTTTGTAAATATCAGTCGATTGTCTCAGATTTCATTGTAGATGCCTTTTCATATCAATTGCGTTCTGTTCACATCCTTTCCTTATCGACCTTCTGCTAAAATACATTCTATGCCTTACCACCGTTATATACTACTTATGTGAATATAAGTAACCCACACCACATAAAACACATAAAACTACCGTTTTATTCATCAACAATTAATAACACATCCGTCAAAATTAATCGATGAAAAGTTGAGATGAGTTGCATTGTGTTAAACGTATTAATTATTAAAATATAATTGACTAACACTTACATTATTTTGTGCCTGAGTGATATATGTTTGATCCGGTAAAAAAACTGGTTCATTTTCTTGACATAAATAACAAAATATGCTCTGAAATGGAAAAAAATACAATGAACATGTGTTAAAGTTGTTACTTTGTTATCTAATGGTTTAGTCTACAAACTTTCATTGTCTCTCTAGACAACAGTATCATCGGTTTATATTTCAAAAAGAAGCAAATTATTAGGATTTCTCTACTATAATTGATTAACAACTTGGTCTATTGATCTGAAATTTGATTGATTAATGTCCGTAACTGTGTGGCATTTGTTTTTGTGTTTACTTTGACTATATCACTGTTTTAGAGTCATCCACTCTATTTTGGTATTGATTCATATGGTGGGTCAGTTTAGATATATCTTTCGACTGACGCGTGACCGAAGTGCCAGGTTTCTGAAGATTTACTGGTCCACTAAGTGCACCCTTTACACAATATTGCTACGTCCACATACGTGATTACAAATACTACTTGTTGAACGTTTGGCTGATCATATTCTCAAGAAAGGCAGTCAAAGCTTCATGATTAAACTATTTGTTCCAGAGAACACAATGTTTTTTATATTGGATAATTGTAGATGGTCAACAAGTAAACTATACTTGAGGAGATTAATTTATAATTGATATTCGTCATTGATTGCTAATCATAGTTGAGGTGCTATCGATGACCGAAGAGGGCCGGACAGCTGTTTCATCAGCGAGGTTGTGTATGCGCACTGTTGAGGAGTGCCATACTATGACAGGTTTTCAATTGCGGCTTAACCTAGGCCGATTCATACTCTCAATGAAGGCACTTTCGTCGTTTAAGATACTAGGAAATGAGATAGAAATATTTCTGCTTGAGATTTTCACTCATTGTCACATAGTTGGAACAATTTCATTTGATAGTTTGCTCAGTTCTCGGACAAATGAACACTTTATTTGGACACATACGGTCTATTATTGTTAATACTTACACTGCATAATCTAGTATTATAACGATAGTATATTACATTATCACATTTATTCATTGTACATAAGTCCTCACAAAATTCATACTTTCAAAAAATTCATATATACTTATATATACGATTGTACCTGATTGATAATAAATGCGTTGGAAAGAGATCCTTTCATGTTATCCTTACGTGTTATTAATGCTTAAATAAAGATCATCTATTTATAATCAAGAAAAATAAACAATCAGTTACTGTCCCATAACTTGATTTTATTCAAATATAAGTAACCAACTAGGCTGGTTGTCACCAATCACCTGAGCTTTGATTAATTTATGATTCAATTAATATCTATTGTTAATACGTTTTATGACAATGATAAATCCAATTTTTCTGGTCATCTAGACTACATTTTGACATTGAAATTGCCGTCAACCTTTTATTCATATGAGAACAGCTATCAATCACTTATAAATATGTCAATGAGCATTTATCGATTGTTTTCACTATAAACATTAACAAAACTCATAATTCCCATCATATCATTCAATAGTTCAAATGACTTTATTGTTGAAAGTTTTATCTTAATGAAAAAACAAGAGAGGGAGTAAATGTTTTCAATTCTCAAGTTTACTATTTCGTAGAAATATGTAATTTACAGTATTTTCTTTTATACGAACACAATTACTTGAATAAGTGTAATTCCCATGATAAAGCTAATTTACTTTATATAATTACGATAATTAGTTTCTTCTGTAATCAACAAATATTCCATTGTTGAATCAACATACAAACATACAAACGAAGTAATGAAGTAAACTAGAAAACTGTCAGATAAATACTTGAAATAATATTTCAATAATTCAATAAGCTTTTGATGGAAAAAAGAACTTAACAACATCAATCAGTATCCACCCAGTCCAACTCACTCCACCCCCTCAAACCGGTAATATTATTAATCCTTAGTAGAATTCAATCATAAATTTAATAAATGCTGGCCTATTATGGAAAAGTAATATTTTATATTCTTGTCTACAATTCATTTATCAGACAATCAGTCATATACAGTTTATGATTTGTCAGGTATGTTCATCAGTTCATGTTGACATGATTGCATAACCTGAACAAAATGAAACAATCAAGACAAATGATGGAGTATTAGAATTATTAACTGTATCAGTTTGAATGACATTAACTTTCTTCCAACCTACCCCTACGCTGGATACCATCTTGCGATCGGGTAGTTGGAGAATAGGTATATGTAACCAACTCAGTCGATGAAAAATTTCCATATTTGTCAGCTTATATGTCATATTTACCTAGAGCTTTGTATCCATTCTAAACATTGTTCATATCAACATACCTTTGTAGACAAAAGTAATTTCACTATAGTCTGTAATTTGTTATAAGCAAAAAGTGATTTTTTAAGCGACATTTTTTCTGGAAAGTGTACAAACTTAACTTGAGTAGTAAGGAATGTGGCAATCTAATGACTATACACCAGTTACTGAATTTGATGAATGTTAGAACTGATTAACTACAAGTGGAATACTATAAGATAGTAAAATATAGAATCAAGGTTGCCTATAATCAACTACTGAATACATTTCAAGGTCTACCGAGAAACACACAGTCTTGCAGTAATAAATTTGCTAAGATATTGAGTACGATAGAAACTCTCATAGGAAAACCAAATAAATTGGTTATTACTTAAATTTCAACAATTCTTATTCAAAAACGTTTCCATCTTCTCATCGCAGTTTGGAGGATAATGTATTCGAGTCTCACGCGTAAGATGCTGGGTAAAAGACTGAATAATGTCATCAAAGTATATCGAACTGACGAATTCCTAATCGAGTAAAAAACAGGTTTTCGATTCCATTGATAGTCACTATAAAACCTTATTCTTTAATACTTTCTTCCATAAGAAGTATCTCAAATCATATACATACTTCAGAAACGCATATACACACATAAATATACATGCTTAAGTTGGTCATTTTCGGTGTTACATTATTTAAAATACATCTTTTTAAGTAAATTTTCACTAGTTGGTTACAGCTAACAGATAAGCTAAGACGCATGTATAACATCTTGATCGAGAATTTCTCTCTCCCCAGTTATTTATCTGTTTATCGATCTCCTTTTCGTTATGCGAAACGGATGTCTACTTTGAAGGTGTAATGAAATTTCCAAAAAAGTAGTCAGGCAAATTTTGACTGACATGCCATGAAAATACAAAAACGGATAGTCAGCAATTTATTATTAAACGATAAGCAATAAATATTTATGATAGATAATTTAATAAAATCAGTATCTTCACAGAGGATCGAACCCATGACTTGCAGATCTCGTTGTGAGCGCCTAATATTTTGATCATAGGGTTGTCATCCAGTGGTTTACGTATGTAATGCCAATGTCACTGATAGACAAGGTCTTTTCCATATTAAACATAGTCAAACTCTATTGGTCATAGCTTCTTACTAGGACTCTTACAATCATCACTCGAAATTCGTCACTTCAATCATTTTTCACATTTTCCTAGTTGGCGTTTTTCGTCAAGTCTGAGTAAGTAGAAATTAATCCTAACACTATATCAATTCACTTGCAAATGATGAACATTGATCTTGAGTGCTGTTGGAGGTATGAGGGCGATTACCACTTCTCGGTTTCCCACACCATGGGAGGGTTCTTCTAGAGGTACCTGAAAAGAAAACTGGGTTAGAGGTGGTCTTAGTGACCCGAGAGTATGAATGCAGTGCCCAAGGGACAACTGCTTGAGGTCGGTCACACACGACGTTTTGTCAGTTATTTTCGTGATATCTCCGTACTTGTTGGGACCTTACCGCCGGAGACGGATATCCATGGGACAAGGTGAGTTGTGCATTTTCAGGGTTGACCTTTTCTAACCCCACCCATTCGTTTGTGAGAAGTCAGCATTATTGTTATACTGATGATGCTGAACACACGAAACTAACTGTATTATCACGTTTATTTTAATGTCCACATTTAACAGAACAATGAAGCTAGCAACTATACTAGGTGATAATGATAAATGCCCTTTCTTGTATATTGCAATTTTCTAGAAAGAGAAAAAAGTAATTTCGAGTTTAGCGATTGATTGAATGCTGATTTTATTAATTCCCCCATCAAAATATTAAAAGATTTTTTGAATAAACGTTCAACTTCACACTGTAAATCCGCAACCCACCACGAAGGATTGAGAGCAAGATCTTTAGCTCTGGACGCTGAAGAGTCTCATGACAGAAGGTAACAGGTGCACAATGCTTCCTGGTTTTCAATGTTTGTTTATCTAGATAACTCTCTTTATCTATATTACACTCTGATTAAAAAGAAAATGGATTTAAAGTTTATGGAATTTTGTAGAAAATATAAGTATTCTTCACCTCAATTTATCAAAATAAGGAAGAAGGTTTGCAGCTCTGGTGAATTCTTCTTCGTGATGTAATATTCTCTGTGCTAAAAGAACAGTGAAAACTCGATAAACAAATTGTCTAGATCACAAAACATAACATTACCGAAAACTCGATTTATTTTTCCAAAAGCCTCATACATCTATACAAACAAACGAAAATAATACTTACACCGTGTAATGCTGTATACTGTACATGAAATGAAGCCATTTGTTCTTCACCTTTTATTTCAACAGAAATCAGTAAACGAATAGCTCCAGATACTGCTGATTTATCTGTCCGTTTCTCTGAAGTTTTGTTTTGAGAATAAAAGAATAAAATATGAACAACATTAGTATTCTTGTTAGAAAGGCATTGAATTATCTCATTGTTCATAATCAAGAATAAATAATGATCACTTTTAATTGACACATTTGCATTTTGAACGGATTATCTCGATATTACCATTTTGTCACATATTTTATGTAGAATAGACGAACTATAGCTAGCAGTGGAATCTAAGGCACGTGCTTCATCCTATTTAAAACTTGTCAGCTGAACTACTTGCATCTTATAGTTGATATTCAATCAGGGATTCGAATCCAGTACCTTTTGTCTCAAAATTTTAATCAATTATCAAAATAACTATTAATTTGATCGGCAAATATAATGTTATTAAAAAGGGTTTGAAGTATCCTGGTTATTCAAACTCTTTCTAAGATTCTTAATTTATAACATTTAAAGTATCTAGTCGTCGGAATTATTTTAACAATTAAAAACTGAATTTTATTTAAAAAATCAATTTGTTTTACATAACAATAGAATTGTTTTTTGTTCATTTCTATTTGTCAATAGATACCAGTTTATAGAAGTTTCGTTTTTAGTTCTAATCGAAATCTCAACGAAGTAACAAGTCATAGCATCTTTAAAGCTTTGATTAATAGATATTCAGCATAATGTATGTCCAAAATTAACTAATTATTAATTAGTATCAGAAGAAGCTTTGTTGATATAATAGTAATTTCAATGGTTGAGATAATCAGTCAGTTGAACCTAGACAACCACAGAAAGCCTGGAGGCACTGGACGTCCCACTGTGGGACTCCTTGGCAGTTCGCATCGACGATCCCGCTTTGCAAGATTCCAACCCAGGACCTATCGGCCTCGCGCGTGAATGCTTAACCACTAGACCACTGAACCGGCATTCAACGATGTTAATATCTAACTTCAAATAATCCATGAAATTGAGTGACACATCCATCATTGTCTTTAGTGAGTTACTATCTCACAACTGACCCGAGTGAACTCCACTGGTCACTACTGCTCACTGGAACTCCAGGATATACCTCTTGAAGCCAGTCACTAGTGAGCACATATTGATTAGTATCAGAAGGATTTTTGTGGACGAAACGGCCGTCCAGTGCTTCCAGGTTTTCCATCGTGGTTTAATTTCAATTGACCCATGATTTCAAACATTATAATTAATAATTGTTGCATATAAACAATAAGAATTTTTAAACTTTGGAACAATCATTTGAATGGAATTCATCACTCTACATCAACTTCATTGACTGAGAGAAAGCATTTGATAGCGTGGACAGGACAACACTATAGAAGCTTCTTTGACAGTACGGCATACCTTAGAAGATAGTCAATATCATACGGAATTCCTATGATGGATTAAGCTGCAAAATCCTGCATGTAAGACAATTGACAGACTCGTTCGAGGTAAATACCGGTGTTAGGCAAGGCTAGACTGCTAGAATGCAGCTGGACGATCTACATTTCGTAGATGATCTGGCTCTTCTACCGCAAACGCACAACAAATGCAGGAGAAACAGACAAGTATAGCAGCAGCCTCAGAAGCAGTAGGTCTCAACATACACAAAGGGAAAAGCAAGATTATCCGATACAACACAGTATACACCAATCCAATCACAACTGACGGAGAAGATTTGGAAGATGTATAATCCTTTTCATATCTAGGCAGCATCATTGATGAACATGGTGGATCTGATGCAGATGCGAAGGCAAGGGCAGTATATTTACAACTGAAGAACATCTGGAACTCAAAACAACTGTCAACCAACACCAAGTCAAGAGTTTTTAATACAAATATCAAAACAGTTTCACTATATGGGGCGGAAAGCTGGAGAACTTCGAAAGCCATCATTCAGAAGATAAAGCTGTCTACGCAAAATACTTCGGATCCGTTGGCCAGACACTATCAACAACAACCTATTGTCAGAGAGAACAAACCAGATTCCAGCCGACGAGAAAATCAGAAAGAAGTGCTGGAAGTGGATAGGACACACATTGAGGAAAGCATCCAACTGCGTCACAAGGCAATCCCTCACACACAATCCTAAAGGCGAAGGGAAAAGAGGAAGATCAAAGAACATAGTTCGGCGAGAAATGGAGATAGACATGAGAAAAATGAACAAGAATTGGATAGAACTGGAAAGGAATACCCAAGACAGAGTGAGTTGGAGTATGCTGGTCGGTGGCCTATGTTCCATTGGGAGTAACAGGCGTAAGTAAGTAAGTAAGTGTTTAAACTTCTGAGTGAATTAAAACCGTATTTTTCTCTAAGAAAAATAATGATCTCGGAGTGATTCTAGTGTGTTGAATACACTTCCCTTTTGAATAAATGAATACATATTCATAAGATCCAGTTGATAAGAGAATTTAATTCTTGAACATTTTCTTTTCAATATGTTTTGTTTAGCATAGTGAAGAATAATTTGCAAATAACTGAAAATTCTTGAAACGATAAAATTTATTCACTTGATGATAATTTGTGCACTGGGTTATAACTTTGATTGACAGATTATGAATAGAACAATTATTTCCCATTTTAGTTCATTCATTGTATGCTATATCCTATATGAAATAAATGAATATTCAGATGGAAGTAATTACCACAATCACCCTACCTTAACACTTTTATTACATAACAGGCTCATTAATGACTGGTTTAAGGGTAAATTTCAGAAATCCCAATAAGAAATTGTTTCTAATTGAGTTAAATTATATCAAGTATAAGGAAGTTAGTTACTAATCAATATTCATTCGATAACTGTTATACTATATACCGAATCGACTGAACTTGTAAACACATGGATAAGTGAACGATAGTTAATTACTTTAAGTGTTATGTGTAGATGAATTATTGAAATGTCTCAATATTTGATTAGCACATTCAACATCATCATAATCATTATTGTGCTTATATACAGACAAGATGAAATTACTTCAATTCACTTAAATCACTTACCAAGATTATACCATACATCCATTTCACCGCTTAATGTTCTTACTTCAATAATTGTCTGACCAAGAAAATCATCCGATTCTCTAGTGAATTTTTGTCGAATTTTCGACTTTAAATCATTATCTTCATCCCTGTAGGGAAAAAGTTGTAAAAATGAGAAAAAAATATTCAAAATGAACATGACTTTTCACAATGTCAGGCACTGTGTAATTTTACATTAAACAATAAATTGTTCATCATATCTGAATTCCTGCTCATTACAGACACCTAACATTTTCGTCTTGACTGAAAATTATAAACAAATGAATAAAACGCAAGAAATCTTTTATTACAATATCAATCCAACATAGTTAATGACAGTTCATTCCCTCTAGATATTCATTTCTGTGGTAACGAATTCAACGAATCTTCAAACCTACTAAGAATAACAACATCAACAATGACTGAAATAGACTATTCCATGAGATAATAATAAAAACCAGATTATGATGACCATTGATGTCAACAAATGTTTCACACATAGAAGTAAACATCCGATACAGTTGACCATTTATGATTGACTGAATAATCACGAATATCACGTTTATTCAATCCCCCAGTCAGTCAGTTAGTACATCCGTACAAGTTGTCATACCTCATTAACACAAAGAGATGTTGTTGACAAACACGAATCCCAGACTAGTACAGCCAGTAACATTATCAATAGTAATAGGCATCAAATATGCAATTCAAGAAGAAAATATAAATTAGTTAATTATAAAAACCTGATGAGGAACTCAGAAGCTCATCATTTGGAAGAAGATAAAGAATGGATGGACCTGCGTCACTGTAAATGGTTTTGAGCCATGTCATTCAAACTTACTAACCAGTGGCTACGATAATCACGCGAACCTCAACCAAGTAGTTTACATAAATTAACATGCTTTAGTCGAAATGTCAGTGTCTTTGTAGACCCACTCTCATGTCTTGATTTGGCCACCATTAGCCTTCTTCTAACCTACTCCTACACCAAACAGCGTCGTTCATCAAAGTAAAAGATGGTTGAACACATGTAACACATATCCCAACTAACTCAGTTGGTGAGGATTTGCTGCTTTATCAATTGGTTTCTTATCCTTACCTAGCACCCTACTAATTAGGGATTGCTGATTAACTTCTACCTACGACGTTGTAACGTAGCAACTATCCTGAATGACTGGACATTATGTGCACTTTGTTGAGATGTTGGGTGGTTCAACATAGCCTAAGAGCAGCCATGTTTAACCTGAGTTTAGTGCAAGTTGGTACGCACCAACAAGGTACCCCTGTAATTCAATGGGAACCGATGCTTTTCGGTAGATTTGAACTGACATCGCCCACTTGAATAGAAAAATATGGTGTCGATCAGTTATAGATATGTCGGTTCTGCAGTAGTACAATAACGACTCAATAGCTCGGTGGTAATGTCCCAAATTATGAACCTGTGTTGGAATCTCACAGAGGCTACAAATTACCTCACGATAGCAGGTATTCCTAGCTAAAAATTGGCAAATAGCATGAAACCTAGGTAAGGCAAATTAATTGTCAATTGCTTTTAACCACTTGAATAAAGTTTACTACAATGTTCTGGTACTCAGATAAATGATCATCAATAAAAATATGATTGATATTAATCAATCAGTACTCATGATGATATAGGATGCTATCAGCTCTAACTATGTATTTTCATCAGTCAATGAACTTCTTAAAACCCAAAGAATAAGGTGTGTCATTATTCTAGGAATGATGTTTTCAATCAATAAAATAAACGAATTTTTCTTCTAATCCCTATTTAGTTTTGCATCCTCACTGCGTACAAATGTGCATATGGTCTATTGTACAAACTCTTAAAATTTGCGATACAGAAACTAAATAAACTCTGTTTTCCGAATCATTGAATTTAGACATTAACGCCGTTGGATGCCGGTTCAGTTGTCTAGTGGTTAAGCGCTCGCGCGCGAGACTGATAGGTCCTGGGTTTGAATCCCGCGAGGTTGAGTCGTGGATGCGCACTGCCGGGGAGTCCCACAATAGGAACGAAACGGCCATCCAGTGCTTCCAGGTCTTCCATGATGTTCTGACTTCAATTGACTCATGACCTCAATTATTGATATTATATCATGATAATGTTTGAATAAGAATGGTAAACATTACATATCATTGAAGCATATTAAAATGAATTTAAATTTTAAGAGAAGGAGTTACCTTTGTGATAACAAACTTATTTAATTTATTTATCTTTTATGTTAAACACTTACAATAATTTGTGCATCACAGACTTTCATATATTGTCATCTTAGTTCATGTTAGAATTCTTTTATGAAACGGAACTATATCTTTCTTTTCACTATGCAAAACTTATCATTACATAATATATCACTCAATATATCAAGATATGAAGTAAAGAAACATCTTTTGTTAAATAGAGTTATGTTTTTAGTGTTTTTTGTGAATAAATCACGATGGTATGATTTAGACTGTACAGATGTTAATCAATGTAAGAGAGCTTTGTAGAGATTATTTGTATGTGAATATTATTTCTGTTACAAAACGACATCAGTCGGGAAAATCTATTGGAAATCACGAAACAATGAACAGCTAACTGTTTCTACTTGATAGTATACTGATGAGCACACCTATAACCCATTAGAAAATAAACCTTTTACAATTAGTAATCATTCCAAGTGTGTGTGTGTGTGTGTGTTCGAAGGGAGTATCAATCGAACGATGCACTTATACTCCAAAAATAACCGAACTAAATGCGGAAATCCAACGTTTTCTACTGGGCAGCTTATGAGATAGTCTCTTTGGGCTCATGTGGTCATACGTTACGTGCAATGTGAACAGTTGATTAATGATTATCAGAAAAGTACACTATTTGGATGATAATGAACATGTGAACCGTTCTTATGTCTCAGTGAAGTTACTGACTATCTCAGGGTCATCCATTTATGTTATCTGTTTACTTACTTATAATAGGCTGTATCTGTGTGTATCAGACTAGGAAAATGAACATAACTCATACTGATTTATCAGACATCTGAATTTCTTTATCTTAGCTAAGTTCACTATATTTGAATGTTATTTTTTACTTAATGAGTATTTCCATGAATAATTCCCATAAATAATTCAAAACAATGGAGCATTCCCTGAGATATGATAAGGTCTAGTTGAAGAATTCAAAAGTAACAAATCATCATAGTCCCATGAACTGATATCTAGTTCGTTATTCTATTTAAATAGTGATGTATTAAAACACAAAACATAAAGTCGGCTAATCAATCGAGAACTGATTATTATATCAAGCTTATTCTTATGTGATAAAATGCAAATGGAAATCATGTCATAGCAACTATTTAAATAATAATATTTCTATATTTATAATTTTTCGAAATTTACACTTCTCTCACAGTATCAATATCACCAATTAAGTCATTGAAAACAAGATCAGTCAATTTGTTTACACTTAATTATTCAAAATGATTAATTGTTTTACATTAACACAGAGAGGAGTGGCTAAATTATTCTCATAAAAATAGATTGATTTATTTAAATAAACAATAAACTACTGATGAGAAAGATAGAAATAATTTATTTTCATTCACTAGAGGACATTAATCAGAAAGATATATCTATACATTTATATTCTAGCTTTTACTAAAATTTTATTCTCTGAGCTGGATGGTTTGATCGTGGAGTTTTCACTGTTCTTCTGAATAACATCATTAGCACATACTTCAGGTAGAAATGAAGTGTTCGAGTTACGTCACATATGACGCACAACTTGTCTTGTCGACCTCGATCTTTATTGGTTATTGCTGACCTTTAATATGTCATTGTCTACTTTTTTTTTAATCAAAAAGTAGGTTAAGGACTTTTCTAACCTGTATCATCTTTTCAATCTTCAAGGTTTACAATCAAACGTCTAATTCCCATGATAACAGCTATTTTCCATAATAGAAATAGATTTCAACATTTTATTGCATTTTTTAATCGTTCTTCCTACAGTTTACTATAATAAAATGATAACTTATTATGCATATTTTCTGTCGACAAATCATACATTATAGTGTTATTAAACAAAAGTAAACTCACCAAACACGAAGTTTAATTCGTTCCAAGGCATTATCACACTCACTAGAAGCAAACAGAAGGAAAGTTGTGTCATTCGTAATATATCATGATTATCGAATTCTTTTATCAATATAATTGCGATTTGATGAAAGAGAATTAAATAAAAAAGTGGCATCAGTTCATGAAGTGGGTGTATACAACCTGATTGTGGTTGACACTAAAGCTGTGATAAGTGAGTCAAGACTTTAAGCAATATGGCTTAGAATCCGTCACAACAACTAAGATCCATTCAATAATTACCTTCCCATAAATTTTAAGCTCCAATATAACGTTATGTATAACTTTTGTTTCTGTCTTCTAGAGTTTTATTTCCAATTGTTAGTCTTTCCCATCAAAATTGCTACTACATTATTTCAACTCGAATCTCGTCATGCTAATGTGGCGCAGCAACTTTATCCATCACACATTTATATCACATTGTATGCTAATTTACCACTGACTTTAAGTATGTTTACCTAACTTACGTTATTAGTTTGCCCAACTCCTAGAATTTATATGACCCACTTCTGAACTCGTAAATTACCTGAATGAAATGTGTTTGAAAGTATATTGTGTCCTTAATAGTTCAATACATTGGAACAACACAACACTATAGTCTCTTGGATTGTTGTCTCTAAGATGGTGGAGAAGATTTGTAGCTCAGGTGAATGATTTTGTTGGAGTTTTGTTCTCTGAGCTGGATGGTTTGGTCGTGGAGCTTTCATCGTTCTTCTGAACGACATCATCAGCACAAACTTCAGATAGAAGTGAAGTGTTTGAATTTCTCCATATGTGTCTCAAAGCTTGTTCTGTGCAACTCGACGTTGATTGGTTCTTATTGACCTTAAATTTGTCGTTGTTTACTTCTTTGTTTTGGTTGTGTCTCCCATTGTTTTGATTTTTGTTCTTGTTTGTGCATGATTTTTCTGATTGGCTGATAAATTGGATTGTTTTCAATATGCTTGTTGATTGCTAACTGACCTGAGTGCCAGGCTTCTAAAAATTCTCTGGTGTTTTTGGAGTTTCCTCTGTCTAAGATTTCCACATTTTTCCAATCGAATGAGTGTCCGCAGTTGTCCACGTGTATTGATATAAGTGAAGAGATATCATGCCGTTTGACTGCTAATTGATGTTCATGTAGGCGAAGGTGAAGGGGGCGTCCGCTTTGTCCGATGTAGTGTTTTTCGCAGTTGGCACAATTTATTTTGTAGATGATGTTTGATTTGTTTGAGACACATATGGAGAAATTCAAACACTTCACTTCTATCTGAAGTTTGTGCTGATGATGTCGTTCAGAAGAACGATGAAAGCTCCACGACCAAACCATCCAGCTCAGAGAACAAAACTCCAACAAAATTGCTGTCTCTACTCAAGGTTCATATAGACAACACACGTTTTTTAAGCCTCAAACATTTGGTACTAATAGTCAATAAGAAATATTCAGTTAGATCGTCTCTATGTAATTGGGTTTCCATTCACTAGAGGAGATATCATTTCCATAACGTTTACTCGTACATATTAATAATAAGTAAAAATAAGTATAGAAAAGTAGGGTTTCACTTAGATGATTGCTTTTCCACAAAAAGATCATCCAAAAATACATAACAATTTGATTCAAATGATTTTACACTAAAGTACATACAACAGAAATTTTTCATCCATGTTGGATTCAATTCTTGTAGAACTGTTTTAGTACGTTTACGTACTTTACCAACTTGTACTGTCACATATGGATCACTTCGTCCAGTTTTATCTTTACCAATTAAACCCTGTGCAGATTTCACTAGAAAACAATAACAAACATAATAATAAAAGCGATAAGAATAATAAACATGAAGGTACTAATAAAAATCAGTCGAAAAATATGACTGTAAACACATATTGATTTGTATAATACTAAATCCTATATACATGAATATTCGTCAAAATTAGAATGAATAGTTTGACAGAAATTGGGCGCCGAGTATAGAGAAGTCATTATATGTGAAAATTATATTTGAAATAATCTCAACGATTGAAATTTGAGTAATTCCAACGTTTCGTCCAGCTAACTTGTCTGGACTTCTTCAGGATAATAATCAAAATCAAAATCATCAAAGAAATATATAGCTTTTTAACAATCATCCTATATGTTGAAATAATTCATTTGTTTGATATAAGACGGTTGAATTGACAGATATACTCACATAATCTATTCCTGAATTCTGAAAGGATAAACTTCAAAGGACATTCACCACTAGCTAATTATCTCAATGTGTGAATACTTACCTCAAACAATTAAGACTATTATTTATTAATGAAAACTCAGATACATGATTGAAGAATATTCTTTTCAATAAAATCTCGTCATATTTGAATTTAATAATCAAAATGAACAGACAAATACATGACAAATACACAATTTATACGACTGTAGAATATGAATTCATTATTTATTCAATAGGTAATCCTTGTAAATATTACGTACTCAACAGTAATAATAATTATTACTATTCACTTGGTGTTGTTTTACTTGTATCTTCCCATTGTTATTTAGTCTCATGTTGGCATATGTACATCCTGTGCGGATTGCCTCAATATAGCCTTAATTCACAGGCACATCCAACTAACAAGTCCCAAATAGGGTGAAACTTGCGTTCTGAATTCCACTGCTAGCCACTATCCATCTTTGCTTAAAAAGCTTGTGACTTAAGGCTATATCAAGGCAATCCGCACAGAATGCACACATGCCAACATGAGACTGATCAATTGCCGTCCTAAATAACGATGGGAAAATACAAGTAAAACATGGACTCTGGATCAGATCTGGCCTTATAAGATTTTTCATCTTAAAATATAGAGATTACAAGTAAGGCATGTTATAACCATTGTACTGTTCTTTAAATGTGTGGATTTCTATGTAATCATATTTGTACTTTCAACCATAATATAGGTCAAGTGGAACATATAATAATCATTGAAATATCTCCCCTGTAGGTTTCGAGTATTTAACATGACAACAGACTGTACGTTTGTTTTATAATTCCAAGCATTAAACCATTCAGACATGATAAAAAGTAGAGTACACAAACGTAGAATAACCGGCGAAGAAATAGAATGAGTAAGTATATGTGTACCATTTCATTCAATATCAAATGTCATTATAGTGTTTTCACCAGTACTAATACCAGGATCTTGAGCTATAACAGTTAAACAGATTAACATTTAAAATATGAGTTGTCCGTTAGTCATTTCTGTCTAACAGACCAGGAACCTTTAAACTGTCAATCATTGCATTTGATAGGACATCAATATAATTTTCACTCTCAGGCTGGATAAAATTACAGATACATAGACTGATATTAACAAACTCCTACTAAATTTAATGTTTAAAATATGAAAGTAACAACTGAAATGAAAACAGATCATTTTATCAAGATTATTTTTAAATTAATTTTATCAAACTATACAGCATACAATCATATAGAAAATATACTGACGAACGAATTACTCGTCGGTTGTGTCAGTCACAAATAGTAAATAACCAACTTATACAATTTTCTCCACGCTACACACACGACAATTAAACATAAAATATTTTAAGCAAAGATGGATAGTGTCTAGCAGTGGAATCCAGGACGCGCGTTTCGTCCTGTTTGGGACTCGTCAGCTGGAAGTACCTGCATCTCAGAGTTGATGTTCACTCTGGGACGAAACGCGCGTTCTGGATTCCACTGCTAGCCACCATCCATCTTTGCTTATAATGCTTGTAAATTAAGGCAATATCGAGGCATACGCACAGTATGCACATATGCCAATAAGAGACTGATCAATTTCAGTCCTAAAACATCAATGGGAAGATTCAAATAAAACAATATCAAGTGAATAAAATGTCTTATTTTAAAGTAGACGTGAAATACAAAAGCTTTCAGAATATTACATGACCATTAACGACTATCTGCGGTGAATAATTGTTTCACTCCTAATGGTCACGGGTTCTCAATACAAATCTAAGAATTACATCTTATAACCGTTCATAAATGGGTATATGATCATTATTAATGTAGAAGAGTTTGTAGAGATTGCAGAACTTTCATAGATTAAAACACAAATTGATTATAGCTAGATCACCATTGAAAATCAGAATACTTAAGCAATATCATGAAGTGATTGAAGTTAGACTAAGTGGTCTAAAGGTTAAGCTCCCAAACGTTAAACCATAGATGTTCAGTGCTATAGAATCCTATATTACGACAAAATAGATGTTCAATACTTCCATTTTTTGCAATAGTGATCTAACTAAGAATGGTCAGTGATTTAAATTATGAAAATTCTATAGTCTACACAAATCCTCTTATAATAATAATAAAATTTTTGTTTATCTTTTTCTTCAAAATTACTTTCATCTCCAATTGAAAAAAAGAAGCAGTTGCTAAGACGAAATAATCGTCTTATGGCTAAAAAAAACTAAATCATGATAGAAATCATTTATTTTTATTATTGTTTTTTTCTTCTAGCTATGCTCGACTGAATCTTTGTACGTTAATTTTCACTAAATGCCTTATCATAATGTATTATCTTATCCGTTTGTTGGAGAAAATAATTCAATAATAATAATAATAATTTATCACCAGGTATTCGAAATATTTTTTCTGGTTAGTGTTTTTTTAGCGAGTTAGTTTTCTACGAAATGGCGTTGCTAACCTCATGCCCGACCTTCCTCCTTTCCCCGGGCTTGGGATCGGCAGTAGTCCTAATGGGGCTCCAGGGGAAAGCCATCATCCAGAACATACAGGTGTTTATTAACAGTTGTCTGCGCAAAATACTTCGGATCCGTTGACCAGACACTATCAGCAACAACCTACTGAGATCCCAGCCGAGGAAAAAATCAGGAAGAAGTGCTGGAAGTGGATAGAACACACATTGAGGAAAGCATCCAACTGCGTCACAAGACAACCCCTCACATGGAATCCTCAAGGCCAAAGGAAAAGAGGAAGACCAAAGAACACATTACGCCGAGAAATGGAGATAGACATGAGAAAAATGAACAAGAATTGGATACAACTGTTGGAGTATTCTGGTCTGTGGCCTATGCTCCATTTGGAGTAACGGTCGTAAGTAAGTAAGTGAGTAAGTCATTGCAAGCAAATGGGAATAACGAAAATATACAAAGAGATATACAAAGGAAGACATAGTATATGAAAAAAGCATGTCATTTTATTCTTTTGTAATCTCTTTTATTTCTTGACGTATTTGTGCCGTTATTAATGATGAAAGGCAATAAAAAAAAGATAAGTGAGAAAGGAAGAGAACAACAATATCAATGTAAACAATAGTTCCTTTGATTTGATTGCATCACACCCGACTTTGATTTATCAATACAAACATAAATACTGATAATACTTTTTTACTTGCATCTTTCGTTAGCTTCAATTAAATAAAACATAGAATTAGATAACACAATGAAAAAGAAAAACAAAGTTGTACTGAATGCATATCGGTGTTGTTTGTCTGATTTTTACTTGTTTTTTTTGTCACATCACCAACTGGTATATTCAACAAAGAAATTGATGCTTGTATTCATTTAGTCTAGAATAGATAAGTATACTCTGATTAATGATATTCCTTTCATGTTAATTTTATTAAATTTAATGTAAACAGGAATTGGAATTAACGTATCACAACGACAGAAGATATTCAGTCATAACTAACATAAAACTTAGCTGGTATATCACATTAATACGATAGAATAACATTGAAAAGATATTTGATATTTGTATCAATGGATTACAAAGAATTATATTGTTTCCTTATGTTACATTGAAAATATGGTTCAATGCATACTGCTCCTCTGAAAATGCATTCAATGTTCTAGCACCTGTAAGTGTATCTTATTTCACAAGTGAGACTATAGGAATAATAAATGTTTAGTCATTCTTATTAGTGAATTCCCTAAGTAAAACCACCTATCTGATGTTGAACAGTATATCACTGAGTCAAATGACAGATGCATTATGGTAGACCTGATTGACATATTTTGGTAATTATTGCTTTGTTATCCCGTACTCTCTGTTTTCGTTTTACTTTTTCTAGTTGTAGACAACTATCATTAATTCGTTCTGGCACAGGAAATGACTTTAAATACACCATTCGTAAATCAACAGGCTATCCATCTAAGAAATATTAAAAGTTCCCGGCTGATGCATTGGAGTGCTCTAATACATGTCATAAATGTACTGCCTAAACAATTACTGAACTAAAATACTTAAAACTGTCTTACATCACATGTTTGTTCTCTTCATCTAATGTTACTATTTATATCAAATTGATCATCCCTGTAAACTTGCGTGAATTCTGTAATTATTATTTTCAGAATATATTGTTATTATTAATATTAATAGACATAACGATAAAGTATTCATGGAGGAACAATGGAACTCAAGATCCGGAGGGAAACAAAGAAATGACTACATTTGTATCATTGTGACTGATTCTGAGTTATGTTACTCAATATTAAAGTAAGTGAAATAATGAAAATGTTAGGATATTTTCTTTGTTGTCTATCCGTTGAGAAAATATAACAAACGAGTACACTGTAATTCAGCCATCTAGGTTCACACGAGAAGGAAGCAAACAAAAGTGACTATCAAAAGGGAGGATGAAATGTTTCACATTGATAAGGGCAACCGTCAAAAAAGCCCACATTAACAAAGCTGAGCATGGAAAGCAAGAATAACATTTGTAATGGTGTGAAATATGTTTGATTCTTTATTTGCTGTGGAAGAAATTCCCAAAACGTAAAATGCAGGAGTGGCGTTGAGGCTTTAGCCAACTTATTAGTGCCGCTTATTCAAGTATATGGAAAATTATTGATGGTCCAAAGAAGTAACAAAATATAAATGGGTTGAAAATCGAACGGTCGGATGCAGGAATCAAGGAAAGTACTTAGAAGGAAAGTGTAAAGAGACAGCAGTACGTATAAAACTGGTCGTAGAAGATTACAAAAACAGATCAACACTAGAATATCTATGTGGAATAGCGCATAATTTGAATATTCACATTTAAACATCCCAAAATTGTTTAGGAAATTTTTATAGTGTACGCTACACTTACATCTATATTAAGCTGATGTTACCTCTTTTTTTATACTCTTTTTTGATGAATTGTATTCAGTCAGTTAATATAGTTCCCAGAATTATTTTATTGCAACAATAAATCGCCCTTAAAAGTCCAGGAGTTATCAACGTGTTGGGTAGTCGGAATCCGAATTTTAAATGTCTATGTCACTTCCTTCCTTACTTACTTACTTATGCTCATTACTCCTCTTAATCCGTTGAAGAATCTAATCAATAGTACACAACTTCAAGGGTTAAAATAAGATCGCGCAAAGATCAAGAATTAAAAGAAAAATGATGAGATGAAAACCAAATGTGTGAAAGATAATTATCTAAATAAAGAGCATGAGAAAGATGAAGAAAAAATTAAAAACATGGAGGTGATAATAACAAATGACCAGAAAATAAAAAAAGACAATTAAAACAAATTATAAATAATCAATTATTTTTTTCTGGTTAGCGTTTTGTGGCGAATTGGTTATCTACGGGATGGAGTGGCTAACCCCATGCTGAACCCTCCTCTTTTATCCGGGCTTTGGACCGGCAGTAACTCTAGAAGAGCTACAGGCAGAGTGAAAATTACGTATTAGCGTTACGATATAATGATAATCTGACTTGACAATTTTGCACATATATAACCCATGTTTAAATCGATGAACTACTATCACCTCCGCAGTGAGATCATCTTGAAGGTATTGTTGTAATTTTGTTAGATTTGTAATTTAAATAAACTGTTTAAACATTTTTACCTATTAAACGTTAATTTGAGTATAATTTTAACTGGAATAAATGATAATCTGACTTACATACATACTTAATAATCCTATGTTATTTCATAATATCAATTCTATGAGATCCACCTATTAGGCTCCACCTGTTCATCTGAATAATATTAAATAAAACCTAGTCATTTGACTCTTATTTACACGAATGTCAACAATTGAATGAGTAAAAGTTGGTTACGTTTTGCTGAAGAGTAGAAACAACAATAGTTCCGGGAATACATAGAATAAAGAATACCGAGTATGAAAAGGGCTACGTTTTTAGCATTCATTAAACATTTTTCAAGTATTTTCGAAACAGCCCTCTAAATAGACTATCCTCTAGCTGTTTGATTAAGACTTAAGACAACATAATTAGCGTAATGAAAATAACAATTTGTCATCGAATTGGAAGAATCAATATTTCTCCAAAGTGGACTCTTCATTAGACGTTTAGACAACTACAATTTTGGTTGGTCGTAGGGCTGAGAAACAAAAAGCAAACCGAATATATTTCACACGATTGAAAATGTTATTCCTCCTTTCAATGCTCAACTTTAATAATATGATTCTTTTTTATAGTCTCCCATTCGATAGGTACCTTTATTAATGTACGCCTTTTTACTCAATCCTTTTTGAATGGATACTATACGTCCTACATCTACATCATCTTCACAACGATTAAAATTGCTTTATATCTTTCTTTCTACCAACTAATTCTTTCTTCCTGTACTATATGCTTATGTGTAATCCTTCTTGAATCAACTACTTCTATGAATTCGGTGTTCATCTTGTTGTGCTAATGAGTTATGGCGAATTGGACTGATGCACATATGTGCCTGGTCCTATAATATAGCTGACTGGCTGACTGACAGACTGACAACGATCAATATGGACGAAGTCAAAAAATACAAACTTATACCTGATAAAAGAGTTACACGAACATTATGTTCAAAATGGCTGTGAATTCATAGATTATATGCACTAGTTTTAATCGAAATACTGTAAAGCCTCTATAGATGATCGACAAAATTATTACCTTGAACAACTAAACCATTATTATGAGTAATAAATAAATTATATATGCTACTTGTTATGATAAGTAGTATTTATCAGTTCTTTGTATACTTCATTGTATTTTAATACTAATACACCGGGTTTTACTCTTATGAAGCAAACTGTTAGATACGTACCACAAAATACAAAACCTGAAATGACCCGACGTAAACATTAAACTTCACGGTATACAAAACCAGGATATTCGTTGTATAAGTCAAAATAATAGATTTACAACTAATTTAATGAAATTTATGAGTGCAAAATAGATAGCTTTGACAGCCAATATATGTCAAATGGAAGCTTACAAATCAGGTAACATAATAATTACATAATAAAGATGTATAAACTAATTCACCGTGGAATATTTCACGAAGTTTCTCATCTCCATTCATTCACTCAATTATAACAGTTCAATCATTCAGCATCAACGTAGAACTTCGTGCATACTTACATCAGTTCGAGTTGCCATACCACAATACCATAGAGATACAATTGTCGATTCAAATACCATAGTGGTAAGGGTAGTAAAGGTAATAGCAGTAATCAAAAAGATCATGGTTTGAAGATGTTAGTCAAGGAGTATAATCCAGTGGGATAAATTTGGAACGAAAAAAAGGGACATGAAGAATTCAGAGGATTAAGATTTAGGAGAAGTGATTCCATTTGTATTCAATAGTAAAATATCATGATTGCACATATTTGTAAATTTTACCATGATTTGTATTCCATCTTGATAATAACGACTCATGTACTGAGGGTTTCCGATTGACCTATAATACTTGTGAATTAACGAATGATTAGGCTATTCTTATATAAATGGTTCTATTGTAAACTCGATAACGTCAGCTAGCATATAGAACGTTAGAATTTAGCCGCTAACAATAGGAAGAAAATAGACTGTAAACAAAACTTGTTCATCAAACAGAACAAGCTGAAATGATAAAACTCAGTATATGTAGTTACAAAAGCACAATTTTTAAGCATACAGAAAATTAGCTAACCAAAAGTAGAAGCAACCAATCTGAAATCAAAGACCATGCAAAAAATCGAATTACAAGAAAATAACTCGCGGTTGAGGTGATTAGTAAGACTGCAACATTAATAACAAAACTTGAGTGGTTACATTAGTGGTTTAATCATAATCATTATCATTAATTTATATGATACTTATCACTTAAATGTGAAACAAACAAAAAAAAGACCATGTTATTTACAATGCCATTAGTAAACCTAGATACTTCCGCTGAATAACTTCCAATAATATACATACTTCTTAGTTTCAATCGACCAAATCTGTTCGATTTATGAATGGAATATTTATCTTCCGAGAGTACTATTAAAGTCAATCTTTGAATTGACTGAGCTTTTGCTTCCAAGCTAGTTTATTTGAAAAAATTTCCTTTTCAGTTGATCTCTAACAATTAACAATTCAATTTACCACAGTTTAAACCATGGATTGATGTTAATTAGACGACCTTCTAAAACCTGGTAGCTCTGGATGGCCGTTTTATTATAGTATAGGACCCCTTAGTAGTGCTCATCCAAAATCCCACATCTCGGGATCGAGTCGACGACCAACAGTTGTGCATGCGAACGCTTAAACTCGCGACTAATGATCATTAATCCAACGGTGTCAATGTCTAACTCCAGTCAATTCACGATATTACACAACTATCATCCATTTTTTCTTCGGTGAATCTATACCTCACATGCAACATGGAAAGTTAAATCATTCAAAATTTAAAAGATAAAACAGATTGAATAATTTAATACTAAAAAAATAACAATTTACCAGTGATTGCAATTTTAGCTGACCATTGACTTGCACCGGCTACAATACTTTTTTGTGCAAATTCTAAAGCATTTAAATGTATCATTGAATGTACATCAATTTGAAAAACATTAGCTAAAAATTCGAAAATATCTGATCGTTCAGTAATACGTCGTTGAATCAATGCACGTATTGCTTCCATTGCAGCTTGAGCTTTATCTACAGCACCATGACGTAAAGATTTTTCTGCAGCTCCTGTTCATTTAAAGATAAGAATTAGAAAGAAAGAAAGAGGATATTTATTAGTTGTATAATAAAACTTATATATTATTCAATTTCACTACAAAAACTATCCATCTATAATCTTACAACTCCACTGATTATTCACATTCTGTAAACAATTAACATGTAATGGATATGATAATCATCATTTTTATATGTCAAGCTTTATCAACATGAATTACATTTATGTATCATTAATTGTAAGTTAATAATCAAATGCATTTTAAAAAATGTTTATTCATTTTGTTACTTATCCAAATTGGTTACACAAGTTCACGATGAAACCCATCAGTGTTATTCTGAAGCTAAGTAAATAATTAGTGCAAAGAAATAGAGTATAATTTAAACATAAAGATTGTCTGCGTCTATATGGATTTATGTTATTTCCTCTATAGGCAAACTATAGGATATACTGAATCATTTAGATAGATAACATTGATAAAAAGCTACTTTTGTTGGTTAATTGTGGGCAAACAGAGCTACTACTGGTCCCCGAACATTCAGTACACAACTATCATTAATAATATTCAGTAACTTAAATATGAATTTGTTTAGTTGCATGCCTTAATTTGACTGACACTATAGCGACAAGAAAAGTGTTAAGTACACATAAAGATAAAAGAACATTCGTAACTAGCTTGAATAAAGAACTGACCAATTGTGAAACCTGATACCTGTTGTAAGTAACCTAGAACTTTTAACATACGTTCATTTATTTAAGTTATCCCACTGAAAAGTACAACAAGATTAAAATATCAACAAAAATACAAAACAACAGAAGTGGTAATGGTATTAATGGTAGTAAAATAGATTGTGTGATTTGAGAAAAACAATTTTGTGGGATTAAAGATATTATTAACTAAAACTCAGTATTCATAGAAAAACAAAGAGTGAATGCTTCTGTGACACTAAGATTTGTCCAGAGCCATATAACCAACGTCTCCAACCATTGATCGGGGTTTCTTGTAAACAGAGCAAATCATTGCACATTATACATTCTCCCCCTCGCCAGACATCTTGTCTATCTTGTCTAGGCCGAAAGTGATGCAAGATCGTAAAAGCCAACTGAGATTTCTTCATTTTTCCCGAGACTTCATCAAACACACAATCACCTAGACTGACAAGACTTCTTAAATATCAACTATGAATTCATAATAATATGGGGCTAATTGAAAAAGAATCTATTTCTTCAATGTCCTGATACAAACAGCTCGTTTCTCTTTCGTTTTCATTCATAGATTATTGCTATTTCAACCGTTTTCGGATCAATATTTAATAAAGAATCATACTACTTGATTATCGTGCTTGAAAACAATTCAAACAAATATTGAAAAACACTTCATTTCTACTATAACGATATTACTATTTAGTATAAATTTCTTTTATAGAAGTAATAACCAATCAAAATATAACAAATAAATAGATTGCCTAATATACAAGATAATTCAATCATCTGTGTACACAAATGAAGTACCAACTTTCAATATGAAACAATTCAATGATTCAATTTTATTTAAGTTGATAAGTTCATTTTCAATGACAGATTTTTGTGTAACAAAATAAACTGTAACGTTTCACTTGATAATCTGTCTAATTCTTCCGCGAAAAATAGTAAAACTAAATTGAAGATAAATACAGTAGTCACTTGAATAAATCTGAGATTTAGAGTGAAATGTTTAATTTTTAATTTGTAGTATCAATGTAAGTTATTTAGTGGCTTCGTAATTGTTGAGACCTTACCACCGGAGACGGATATCTGTGGGATAAGGCCAGGTTTGCGTTTTTAGGTTCGACATTTTCTAACCCCACCTCCCTTGTGGGAAGGCAGCATCGCTGTTATACTGGTTGTCTGAAGAAAACATCTTACTGTCGTCGCACCTCTATAGATTTAACAGTCCGACTTCGACCTCAAAACTTGAGTTCGCTGCTTTTAGTCTCATCGCTCTTCAGCCAACCTATCTGGCATCATAGAGCCTCAAGGAACGATTGTTTCAGTCAGTATAACTCGAATGGTTCATCACAATAGGCAAGCCCGACCACTACGTCAAGGTAGCAACAACCAATGTGTTCAAATTCTTCGCGCGAAGACGTATATATGTTTATATTTATGTCAATCTTATATAAATCTATTGATCATATATGGCCTTAGGCTATTATCAGGTCAGGTTAATGAGTTTGAGAAATTATATTAACTATAAACTCGATAGTCAACCCCTGTAACATAATTCTTTGAAACTTTTGACTAAAATTGTAGCAGATTTAAGTAAATACTAAACTTCTTTACGTAAACGGAGAACCGAAACTTTCCATCATTTATATATTAAAGTGATATTAAAAGTCGAAGAAAGAGTTTTATCCTCGTGACTATAGGCTCTGCTAGAGAAACGCTACTCAATACTTCTATGTAGAGTGAGATTATTTTCACAAAAACTGAGAGGACAAAAAGTGAATGTCCGAAGCTTACATTAGGTTGTTGGATATTGAAAGTCAATTATGAGGAGTTGAAAAACTTTTATTCAAAAACAGTGATATACATGGAATCCAGGAAGTTGAGAGAATGAATGGTGTACAAGACTATTTTGATTCCTTTCTAATATTACATTGTAATATCTGGCAGTTCTCCACTACACTGTGGTTTAGAGAATTGGTTTCCTGAGGAAGCCACTTACTTTGATTGGAGTCACCAGGCAATATCCTATCCCACATACACACGAAAATGTTAATAATGTACAAATAAAGTACAAATAACTATTGAACGTATTCATTTAAGATATATTTAATAATAGATGTTTGTTAAAAACCTTCACATTGTAATCATGTTTAAATATTTCACTATTCATATAATTCTAACAAACATTTTCAATACATTGAAACAGTTGTTTAAACAAAATCTTCATCATGAAGAAAAGATGAATTTATTTGTTTTCAAATATTATTTCAAATGATAAAACATTAACAACAGAGATGTTTTTGTTTTCATAGTGATAATGTTAACTATGTTATCAACCATCTTTGCTTAGATTGTTTATGACTTAAAGTAATATCAAGACTATCCGTACAGAATGCACATATATTGCCAATAGAAGCTCAATCAATTTTAGTCTTAAACATTAATAGGATAATTCAAACAAACAATATAAAATGAATCTGTCTATGTAATGTATCAACGGATAAATAGTCTTGAATGAGTGTCTCTTTTAAATAAAAGTATAATTCATATAAACAATAATTAAGTTATCCAATGGTAGACAAATTAATTGTGATTGGTTTATTCAAGTTCAATCAACAACTGTTGCTATAGTGTACTGAAGTAAAAGGAAATAATTTTCCAGGGTTTACTGTATTTAAACAAACAGACTTTTTTTTATCAAATATTTAGTGTTAGTTGCTTATTGGATATGTCACTGGTTTTCAAAGCTTCAGTAAATGAGTTCGATTCTCCATGTGGATATTAACATTGGAATGTAGGTTCATTCAGATATCAAATCTCAGGGCGAATTTACCGTTCTACTGGTCTCAGACCAACCTGTAATTACAGAAAATAATCATTCAGAATGTCCATATCTCAACCTAGGTGATTCCAGCTTACCTTTATCTGTTGATTCTGAAAGCCTAGTCTGTTTCCCTACTAATTTAATGTAGTTTTACCAATAATATAGGAATATATGAGACTCACAGAGGAGCTTCTTTTCTCAGCTCTAAACTCTGTATAATCCACTTTCTTTCCAAAATATGTTTCAAAGCTGGAAAATTAACTTTTTTCTATCAAACGATGAAAGTTAAATCTAGGGACTACTCGTCAGGAAATATCTAAGACTTGAAAAACATTTTTTTGGATGGAAAACTGAGATTTGTTTATGAATGACTTGTTGAAAAACATTACTGATACAATCATTTATTAGCTCAATTTGTGTTATGACGTTTATTGTCCCAATAAAACAATTTTTCTAAGTTTCGAACGCACTACTTCTTAAAACAGTAAACGATTGAGGGGGGAAAGCAAAAGACTCTACAATAAAAGAGTTCTGATGACATTCGGAATTTGAATTGTCTGATGAGTTACGAAATCAAATGTTCAAACTTAGCGTGTGCCCAAAAATTTGTGAAAATTCTTTGTCTGTTGAAACTAATTGGGAAGCTAACAGGCAGAAAACGGCTTAGTGATGACATGCAATTAGAGGCTTGTCCTTTAAAAAAAGTCTTTTTACAGTCCGATGATTTGATGTTATATTTTCTATTTCTCCAAGTTCGTGGAAAGTCGTACTGATGTTTTAAAATGTCGAAAGGTGAATAACTCTTTTCCAGGTTTAGAATCTGATTACATTTAAACCATTTTTAAGAGGTTCTGATATTCTGTGCCACTTACTAACGACCATTTGCAGTAAATCGTTTTTAACAACTTTCATACTGAAAATGTGAAGTAGAATAAGGGTAACTCTAATACTGAAGAACATGTCTAATGTTAAGAATGTCAGTATCTTTTATTTGTACGAAATTCTGGGAAAGTTATTACCACTTACACTTCAGTCTTCAATAAATCAAGCGTTAGCTTACGAAGTTGAGAAAAAACGCTGAATAATGCACCTGTGAGAAGTATTGTCGATACACTTTTGCAACTATAATTCATCTTTGATTCTGTTATTTAGCTAGTCTGCATGTCCTAACATTTTTGAACTGAACCAATAAATTTTCTTTTCTCGAAGTGAAGATTATACCGTGCTTGGAGGGAAGTATTCTACTTCTTTATAACCCAAAGTTGGCCTATTTCATTAAGCTCTTCCTTTATCTTGTTTTTATTGTACGATCTGTCTTCTCCCACAAACGAAAAAAACAACGCGTGGATACCAGTCTCTTCCATTTCTGACTGCTTTGAAATGAACTGGATTTTCGCGCACGTTAGATGATGATCTATTCCAAATGATCTGACAATGAATTCTCCTAATCTACTAACTTTAGCCAAAAATATGAAAAAG